AATTATTCAGCCTATAGTGGATAATACCATAACAAAGAGTCCCTTTTACCAGCACTCTCATTAAAAAACTTAAAGGAATAGTACACCAAAAAATGAAAATCCTGACACAATTTACTGTCGTTTTAAACCTGTATTTATTTATTTCTTTTGTGAAACATAAAAGACAATATTTTGAGAAATGTTTAAAAATTGTTTTTATGTCCATACATGTTTGTTTTTTCCCCCCAAAATATCTTCTGTTCTGCAGATGAAAGAAAGTCATAAACGTTTGCAATGACTTGAAGGTGATTAAATGACATTTTTTGTGTGTACTCCCCCTTTCACAACATCATTACACAGGGATCACTCAAACGTGGAGGATATATTTTGTTTTTGATAAAAATTTCCCCAGATGCTGTTCATAATATTGGGCTTAGGTTAGGTCAGTTATTTAGCATTGTGAGTGATGTGAGTTTAGACAAGGAAATCCCTCTTTTACTACCCACATTATATCGCAATCTAAGATGATATCATCCCATCTGTAAATGTATATAACACTTTGAAGGGAGAATTCATCTCTCATCGCTCCTGTACGTGTGCTGTTGCTAAGAGACCAGCAGTCTGCCACATACCACCTCATGCATCCCCCGCGTGCATTTGTTTCACACCCTCTGCCAGGAGAGGGAACTGTACCTTTCTTTCGCATCTCATTTTATGGTCTAATCATACCATTTAATTCTCACACACACAAAAAAAAAAACATTCTCTGACTTGCATGCGTTCTAAAACCGTGAAGTAATTTTTTGAAATTCAAAAAATGAATAAAAATACATCACTACGCTCAAACAAAAAGAAAAAACATATATTTTCACATCAAAATGAAAAAATATCCTTTCAAAATGCATAATTTATGTAGGCCTACAGTAATCTATTCAGTAGTCTTTCAATATTTGCATAATTGTCACTTTACAGGCTCATATTTACTGTCAGAGCTTTTGGAGTATTTGACTTACCAGTCTGAATGTGAGTAATGCCAGAACATCACATAAGGAAAAGAACAAAAGTCATATTTTTATATTTTTTATTATTACAATAATTCGTATCAGTGAGAGAGATGCAGGAATAATGCATAATGCAATACGTGTGTGTGTATGTGTGTGTCTTACCCTCTCGTCAGCTCTAACAGAGAAGACAAGAAGCAGGGCCAACAGGCCAAAAGTCACCTTGGCCACAAACATTGTGTCGAAAGACCTGTGGAAATAAACAGAGCACACATCTTTACAGGCAGAATGCACCTGAATGAGCTAACTTTTATTTGAAGGTCAGTTTAGTTCTTATATTTATCAACATATTATAATGTTTATCCATTTTGTATACCTATTTATAGGATCACTGGGCAAAGACATTTTAACATCCTAAAGTGCCGGCCTCATCGACACGATAGCCATCGGCACTGACCCTCAAAAACTTGTCCCCAAACTGGTGTGATTACTCCGACTTCCAAACAGATGGAAATGGACAAATACTCTTAATGTTTCGATCCAATTTGTCTTGTCACACACTGTTCGCTCATTGGCCAGAGGAGAACTGGTCCCCGACTGAGCCTGATTTCCGAGAAGGTTTTTTTCCTCCATTCTGTCACCTGAAGGAGTTTTGGTTCCTTGCCACTGTTGCCTTGGCTTTTGGCTTGCTTAGTTGGGGACATTTAATATTCAACAATATTATTGATCTATGTTGTATTATTTTCATGTTATCACTGTGAAGCTGCGTTGATATGATATGTATTGTAAAAAGCGCTATATAAATTAAGGTGACTTGACTTGACCCCATCACAGGGTTCATATCATTATATTTCAGAGCAAAAGATTTACTTTGGATTTTAAACAGGACATGCAAGCACTGTTTGGAAAAAAAAAAAAAAAACTCTGATATTCAACATAACTTCTGATCACTTGTGTAGTACTGTAATACTTTAGACCCACAAGGAAGATGCAACAAGAATATCTGATAAAATGGGTCACCAAACATTTTCATCTTAATTTTTTAATGATCATTATAAACCTGTGCTTTTTTGTGCTCAAATAATGTGATAATTTGCTAACATTTAAATTACTTTGAATAGAGATAGGAAACCTACCAGTTCTCTTATGTTAGATTTCCAAAGCCAGTGCGACACTATGGCCATAAGTGGGGTTTATACCTAGACGGAATCTATACAATCGTTACAGATATGGCCAATAGTACAGTAAACATGCTGACACGTTGTTTGAAAAAGAACAGGTGTGAAATTCCCTCATTTGTTGCTTCATAGGAACACACGTCAGACACAAACCTGATGATCTCTCGTTGTGCTATATTATCGCAAAATCTTGAATTTAATCTTTTTGACAACTTGTTTTCTTTCCATTAGTACAGGTTTTGTGTTTTTATTTTTTAAACTGACTGATTGTAGGCCTCATTGATCTGAGCCTCAATTAAACATTTGCACAGAATGCGTTCGGCTCTGGAAGGAGCTTAATGCTTTCTTTGTGATGCATTTATTTTCCGATCCAAAATGAACAACTTCCACTCTCTCATTTGTCATCTTTCCCAAACTGTCATAGTGAAGCAAGGCTACTTGAAGGTCAGAGTGGGCTTTGCAGAATGGTTTGTATCCCGTTTAGCGACCCATTCTCTCCGGCTCATTTAGTCTGGATATTCTTGCAAGCTGCAAAATTCTTCCTCCCTTTGGTTTGCTGCTCCCTTAGGCTTGTGTTCAGGTCTGGTTGGGTTACATTTGGAGTTGCCTTGAAGCTATTTCCATGTTTGGCTGCTAGATGTAGTGCTATGACTTTAGCTGAGGCTATGTATATAGTCTCCCCTGGTTGCTCTGCTCTTAGGGGCTCTGGGCAGTCTGAGGCACCACTAGAGACAGAGTCCTCGCAACAGAGTCCCTGTTTCAGAAATGGTTGAGCATGGAAGCTTTGAGGCTTTTTTCCTATCGCCTATAGGTGAACATTAACAAAGTACATTCACTTGAGCACTGTACTTAAATACACTTTTTGAGTATCTGTACTTTTTTGGAAACTTTTCACTTTAGCTTCACTACATTTGAAAGACAAATATCATACTTTTTACTCCACTACAGTTCTGTCAAGGTCCTTGAGTAGAAAGCAGTGATATCAGCCAGGGGATGATTTTGGTTGCAGGGGTTGCATTTTAATGAAAGTCGGGTTGATGTCAGAATCCAACGCCAGATTGACATTAATCTCCAACGTAGGACAGACTTTGGATTTTGGTTGGAAATGAAAGTTGGGTTGACGTTAGAACCGGACTGATGTTGGTTTCTGGTGTCAACACGATTTTCATTTTCAACCACAAAACAACGTTGGAGATTACGTAATGTCAATCTGGCGTTGCATTCTGACATCAACCTGATTTTAATTTTCAACATTGGGTTTGGTCTTCTGAATGCAAATTTTGTCATTGTTTTTTTTTGGAGCACACTAGATTTTATACAGTATAACAGTAAGGCTAACACATTCATACTAAAAGCCAAGAAAGCCTTTAAATAGGGCACTATTTGAGGGAACAGCTAATTGGGTGTCCGAAACCATTGTGGACGTTATTGAGTGCACATATTCAATCTCACATTCAATCCCACTACTGGAACTGTGTTCTAGAAATAAATTTGACAGTGATATGAGCGTAGACACGCAGGCATAAGGTATTACATACAACAATGCATCAATAATAAAATAATGCATTGACATTTACTTTTTACTTTTGATACTTAAGTAATCAAAAGTAATAAGTAAATGTCTTCTGTACTTTTACTTGAGTAAAAATCTGTCCTTACAACTTTTACTTGTAACAGATTTGACAAGTAGCATCTGTACTTTCACTCAAGTAAGGAATTTGTGTACTTTGATCAACTCTGCATCTATAACACTTAGCTTTCAAGGGAGCAAGGCTGTGCTGTTACAGGATGTGTCCTAATTGGCTACTGATGCATTTAGGTTACTCTGGGTCAAGCCCCATTGAGTCCATATGTGCTTAAGCAAGACAAGATTGTGCTTGGTGACCTTCACGGTGCTCAGGCAGGCATTGGTCAGCATGGCGTAGTTGGTATTAACAACCCCATAGTGACAGAGACTGACTCAGCGCAGACTTCCCTCGAAAGGGCACATCTTAGGGTTATTTATGTAACCCTGGTTCCCTGAGAAGGGACCGAGATGCTGCCTCGTGTTGCTATGCTTTGAGCGTGTCTTCCTTTAGGCAATTCAAATCTAATGTAGTGTAATGCAGGCACATGCTCAGAGGCTCCACGTGACGTCATTGGATGAATCTTAACAGAAAACATAAGGTTCTGCTCTCTTCTCTCAAGCTAGAGGGCAGTTTGGCCTATTCTCTTTGTTGTGAGCTGAATGAGAACATACATCAGTGACATACTCTAGTGTGTCTGAAATCTCAATGATCTCTGCCTTTAGCCTTTAAAGAAGAGTCAAATCTCAAGTGATGAGGTAAAGACTTCAGTCATGTCCGACATTACAGAGTTTGTTGTGATCAACATCATTCAACCTCTTACCTCTAGCATGTTAGTCTCCTGGTTCATGAATTTTCAAACTGAATAAAAAATAATAAAACCATGTAGATTATGTTTGTGTCATGTTTATATTAAACCACAACAGTCAAAATCTGTTCACTGAGTAAAATAAGGAATTTACATCCCTCACGATAAACTGATCATTAATGAATGCTGTTGTGTACATCATAAGATCAAATGACTGTGATAGATTTCTGACAGATAGTCAAATCTGTAGCTCTCAACTACAGAAATTCTCAAAATTGTCACCCCAAGTGATATTTTGAGGCCAGAATCCATATCTCTGGTCACAACCACTTTTGAAGTGGTTGTAAAAGTGGGTGGGAATCATTTATTCAATAAATGATTTATTGTTTATTGATGTAAAATGTTATACTGTTGTATAAAAACAAAACACTCTCAATTATGCTTTTGGTATGAATATGACAAGCAAGTAAATCAGTGCAACAGCATTGAAGTTTCTTTATTTTGACAATGGGTGATTCCACAGACAGTAAAAGGGTTGGAAAGGCGTTTACGGACGTAAGCATGAAAGTTTTAGCCAAATATGACCCATCAGCTTCAAATTTAGGAATATGGTATGGCCTACTGAACTTCTGGAAACTCTAAAATGTTCCCACGTCAATTAAATAAAATATAATGTTGTTTTCTTTACATTGTCATTTTTAAAATAGCAAACTATAGAAGACATCAGAAAATGGAACATTAACACTGTTTTATAATTATTCAATTAGTGTGAATTATCCCTTTTGTCACACAGTCAGTCAGGCCAGAGTCCTAAGAAATCAAGTGGGTTTGATATTCTCTTGAAAATTTATTGGTGAAGTAAGAGCAGAAGTCAACACCATCCATGATACTTGAGTGAAGTTTTGTTGTTGTTGTTTGGTCTGTGGATCTGGGTGCTGAAGGCAAGTACTGTTGCTCCTATGAATGAGAAAAAAACCCCGATTTAATTACAAATTTCATTTAATTAAGCTTTATTTAAATATGTTAATAAAAACCGGAACATTTTCATGTGAATTAAAGACATTTTGGTCATGTTTTAAAACGTCCAAACTTCCACCAAATATAATGTGTAATTTTTATGTTCTTTTGCATGAGTTCCAGAATGAGAGAAATCACTCACAGCACTGGTAGAGCCTATTGATTCTGATGATGTCATTCTGGCTCATCTCAGTAGATGTGCCCAGCGCAACATTATTGTCGGGAATGGGAATCATGGTGGGAAGGCCATTCTTGGAGAAAGCATATCTGATAGAGCAAGTGGTATAGATGCCGTTAGATTATAATCTGGAACACTGAGAGAAACCTCTTCTCCTCTTGAGCTCACTCACCTCTCGTACTGCATCACAGAGCTGTAGTCGTAGGGAGTTCCTTGGTTCAGGGTGTTGATTTTGTCGAAGTTGTACTTCATGTCTGATGAGCAAACACAACTTTTGCACGTGGACCTAGAAATCTATTGTATTAAATAAACTAACCTAACAACACTATAAACAATACCATCACTGATGTTCTCCCAGACGACTTGGATGTGATTGTCACGGTCACTGCGGGTCTGTTCGTGGTTGAAGCCAAGAGCGTGGAGCAGCTCATGTTGCACAGTGCTGTGGTAAAGGCAGCCATAACGGGCCAGAGACACAGTCTGGGCATAACCCTGACGACCAACGTATGAGTAGCATCTGTGAGACAGAGATCCATAAATTGTAAGACTTTTTGCCTAACTTACACTCTATAAAATGCTGGGTTGTTTCAACCCAAATTTGGGTAAAATATGGACAGAAATGCAATTAAAAAATGTACAGTTGAAAGTGAAAGTTGAAGTTGGGTTAAAATTTGTTTAACCCAACATTTGGGTTTGTCCATATTTTACCCAAATTTGGGTTCAAACAACCCAGCATTGTTTAGAGTGTAGATATTATCTTCATCTGTTCATCATCTTCATTTACTTTTCAACACAAGAAATTACATGTTGATGGTAATTCATTTTGAGTTTTGTATAGCCTTCGCCTTGTCTCTGCCTTATCTTGAAACTTTTTCTGTGTTCTGTTGTGGTTTTGGTTGTGTTATGTACCCACTGCGAGACTCAATGCTAATATAGTCTCTCTCATTGCTGCGGGGGAAGAAGCGGATACAAGTGCTGTAGGAGAAAGAGTCCAGACCACGCTGGATGATCTGCAGCTCTTGGGAAGCTGAAAGGGCAAAGAGGTCAGAGTTTGTTACTGTGGAGAGTTACATCATTTCATTAAATCTCAGCAGCATGCAAAGGGTACTTTTATGAATTTGGCCTACAAAAACATAAATCATAATATTAGTGACCTACAGTAGTGGTTGGCGATGACGTAAGGTACATAAATCTTGCCGTCGCTGTATTTGGGCCAGAGGCAGCCGTAGGAGGTGCAGGGATCAGCATTTTTCTCATTCACAGCAATGTCATCCATTAGCTTGGGCTCATCAGGTTCAGGAACTAACACATAAACAGTTAATTTGGGACTTTTTAATGAAGGACAATTGCAACATATTGATGTCTATTGGTGAGTAAGTGGTGAGTGAGTATATACCAATGCCTCTGTTGGCTCTGTGCAGCAGTTCAGACACAGACAGCTCAGCAGACTTGTCCTTGACTATTATAAAAACACATCAACACATTTACTATTACTTCAGTTAATTCATCATAAAACTGTGTATTTGCTGAATTATTTAATGTTTCAGCTCAAAGTTTTTTTTTTACAATCTCATATTTACAATATTTGGCTTACCAGGCTGAATGTGAGTTAAGCCAGAACACCAAACACAACACGGGCATGGAAAATAAAAATTAAACATTAAGGGAAGTCAAAAGAATATTACATTCTTCAATATTACATGAATAATATGAAGAAATTGCATGCATCATTTTCAGAGTACTACATGTGTGCATGTATAGTTCTGTCTTTTACCTTCCCCTCGGCGGAGAAGACCAGCAGGGCCAACAGGCCAAAAGTAACCCTTGTCACAAACATGGCAGTCAAAGACCTATAACGAGAGAGATAAAAGACCTGTAGAAAGAACCAGGGCACAGGAGTTTGGTTAGACAGAATTAACATGTACACTATTCGTCATGTGAAACCTGAAATCTCAAATAAAATATAAAGCCATGATAGGTATAATTTTTAAATTAAATAAAAAGTTCCGGTGGACACCATAACCTTATCAAATGGTACAAAACCTATTTATGTTTTCAATAAATATATGTTGCCTTCCTCATTTCCTATTCTGCTCAAAACATCCATCAACTTCATAAATGGGAAAATGTTTGAACAGACACCTCAAACATACCACTATTCTCACCTCAGTCCCTCAAGCTTCATAGAGCAACACATTTTATACCCTGGTTCGAGTCCGTATCAAAATGATCTTGACAAATACGGGCAGTTCAGGTTTGTTTAACCTTGTTTGAAAAAGAACAGGTGTGAAATTCCCTTCATAGGAGCATGTGTCATAAACAACACTTATGCATGCATCAGAACGTATAGTATCTCTTCTTAAAAAACTTTATTTTCATAAATTATTTTTTATATTGTACCTTAAATAATACATATTTTTTATTTATCACCTTATATAATGCCTAATATAACCTTGATCTTGAGCATTTAAAATGGCAGATGAGATGACAGAACTGCAGCGTGCACTTATAATAAACACAATATTATTGTGCATTGGAGTGGACACTAGTTATATATATATATATATAATATAGTTATCATTCTTGGTGTGAATGGGCCTTAAAGAGTTTAAATAAAAGAGTTTTAACTTTCCGTTGAACTATTTTATAAATTTTGTCTGTTGTCAACTAACATATAGTTAAATCTATAGTTATCAGCTCAAAATCTGAATCATATTTTATGCAAATTTAATAATATAAAAGCATTTAAATTTTCTTGAAATTGTGACCGCAGCAATTTATGAGTCCTGAATTCATATCTCCCGTCAAAAGTTCAGACGTGGAGAATGCTCAAAACTGTATACATGCTGGTATGAATAGAAACATTATCGTTGAAATGTTCAAAGAAAACATGATAAACATGCAAGTCTTTTTTTTCCTTACTCAGTGAGTTCAGTCTTGTGTAACCTTCAATCTTCACTGAAGAACAGGTGTGGATTTCCCTGTCACAGTATGGTGCCATCTCATGCTGACAAACTAGAAACAGTTAGAGTCTTTACTTCATTTAGTATCCAGTCATCCTATTAAGTTTCCTATTAATGGTCTTTCTTGAATGTAATTATCCATTCATTTAGAGTTCAGTTATCAAGAGAATCCTTGCTACATTTAAACCCCTGTGTATAGATGTCACTACAGAGACAAACTATTTGCAAATAACCATTGCTCATATAATAATCAAATAAACAAATAATCATTGCTCATTTCTAAAATGTCCTTTAATTACTTGATTATAATGTTATGTTACATGATGTTATGTTGAATTGTTATATAATGTTTAAATGCAGCAAAAAGTACTGTAGATACACATTTTATTTGTGAGTAATAGTTTTAATAATAATAGTTACCTGCAGTTGGTTAAAGCTGCAGTCTGGTGTTTTTTCGCTTTGTCGCCATCTCTGTCCGAAATTTACAATTGCAGTCATTCGCGGAATTATCAACTTTACGTGAGTTGTACTTCGACACCCTCGACATGGCACACTGTGGATGAACACAATGTTTGAGGAGACTGTGAGGCTGTCAATCACCGTGTCGATACTGAAATTCAGATTAACAGATTATTCTTTTTGGAAATGTGACCAACATAATAATTTTCACCGGAAAAATGTCATCTGAACTAGTAAGAAACAACCACTTCTGTTCTGGTTCTGACATTGCAGTAAATCGCGCTGATTAAATTTAACAATCGCTTATAAGTTATCATGTCAAGCAAAACCGTGCAAACTATACTTTGTTCTCAAATTGTTCATGTAGTAAGCAAGCATTGTGTGACTACATGTAATTGTCCTTCCGATATGTGTCCTTGTTTTTTGCACCGGTTGCAGTCTCTTTTTTTCTGTAGCCACTCCGAAGTCCGAACCAAGTATTTTGCATTTTACAGCGGGGTGAATCTGTTGTCACCGGTGATTGTCGTTTCAACCTTTCTGGATCTGCCATCAAACTGATAAGTTTAATTATATCAAGTGCTGTGAGAAAAGGCTTTAAATCTCCACCTCCAACATCCTCACAGGCAATATAGCCTACTAGCCGAAACTCTTCTTTATGTGTACAGATGACGTAATGACGCAAAGACATGCTCGAATTTCCCGCGGAAATTCACCAGTACCACTGGAATGAAAAACATCATTACAAGCTTACTTTGAATCGAGTTAAGGCGAGCATATTGAACACTGGCTGGTAATGTATTTTCTCAAATATGTATTTTGGATCATTTTTAACCCAAACAAGCTACGGACTGCATCTTGAAGGCCTGTTCACACCAAGCACGATAATAATAATTATTTGCATAGTAAAGCAGGCGGGCCAGAAAATCAGATGTGGTCAAAAGATTGGATTTGTGCCCAAAGATTTATTCTTCTTTGTGAGCTTTATCCCAATTATACAACGTTTGACATAACTAAAACAGTTGCCAAAATCATGGGTTTGATTCCCAGGGATGAGCTGATCCAAAATACTCTTGTAAATCACTTTGGATGAATGGTGTCTGCATGCATAAATGTAATGTTGATCATGTTGGAGATTGTTGCATATTGATTGGTTTTGTGGGTAATTGAAAAACATGGCAATACTGTAATATAGGCTACATATTTATATCGCACCTTTTATAATCCTGAATGTTTCAAAGCAGCTTTATAAGACTCATAGTCACATGTGACCTTGCCTTTTATCCTGATGTCGATAGCCATCAACCACTCAACTGTGTTCCTTCTCTCCATTTGCATGTTACTTGTTACATTCAAAGCATATGTTTTAAAAACATACATTCACAAACATATGTTTTAAAGAGGCATGCCGAGGTTTTACTTTATAAATCACAAACTCATAATTTACTCATATTTGATGACTAGAGTGAGGTGGTCACATCTGGTTCCAAAGGGATATGTCATAGCCACTATTCAAACTATATTTGTGCCTGTAGCCAATTCACTATCATTTCATTTCTCAACATTGTTCTGTCATTTACACACCTACATCTGTCATCCTCAAAATCCTTTTCCTCTCATTGTGTGTGCTAAGCAATGCTTCCAACCAGTCAGACATATGCAATGTTGAGAAGAAGGGCCATCAATGAGTTCTTTTATGTGACGTGACCAGATGCAGAAGGTTTGGAAATGACTAAACATGACATCGTGTGGTTAATTGTGTAACTGTAACGTACTCAAGATTAAGAACATTGCTGTTATCGCATTATCAGTAATTTACTAATACCGGTCAGAAGTTTGGAATAATCACATTTTATTGATTATAGATTATCTTCAGCTCACCAAGGCAGCACATTATTTATTATTGATCACAAATACATAGAAAAGTGATCAGGGGTGGAGATGGGTGGGTTTAGATATATGTAAGGTGGATTTTGTGTTCTGCAGTGAGGACCATCTCGAAAAAAAGACCCAGAAGCCACCAGTTATAGGGGTGTTTAATTTTTTTTTTCACTTGTTTTAAAGAACATTTTGAGTTTACATGATTTGCTCCTTTGTTGATTTGTCGCAAGCATCTGATACTAGAACATTATTATGTTTTATTATCATTGATTATTCTCATTATCTTATCTTATGTACTAATGATTTCTGACTTTAGGATGTTAATGAGATAAGTAAAATCATTTGACACTATGATGTGCAAAAAGGAAAGCTTAAAAAATAATGCTATAGGAAAAAAAAATTTGATGAACTTTTCCATCAGACACGTTCTTCATACAGCCCGGCAGCAGGTTCTCAACCTGAGAAATAAAAACCAATGAATATGAAATGAAAGACACGATTAAGAGTTTGTTGTGATAGAGTTAAAAATAAATCCCACTATAAAGACCATAGTATACTTTTTTAGCATAGTGGTCTAAGGTGGAGTTATCATCAGTACTGAATAAAAAATGATGTTTTTCATTCAAATAAAAAGCTGAACATACTGCAGTAGAGTCTGTTAATGCGTAGGATGTCATTGGAGTTCATTTGTTTAGCTTCACCAATCACAACGTTCGCATTCGGAATGGGAATCATGGTCGGCTCATTATTCATAGAGAAAGCGTACCTAAACAGCACACATAAAGAAACAACAGTAAAAACGGTTTACTATGTTTTTAGCATATCCAAAAAAAAAAAAAAAAAAATCCTAAATATTTCACTGAACTACAAGAACGCTTACCTTGAATAGTGCATCACAGAGTTGTAGTCATAGGAGGTAGCCAGATTGTTGGTGTCTACTTTACGGAAATTGTGCTGCTGTTCTGTTACACAGTGCATAGGAAAGTATTAACAACTGTAAATGTAAACCTGGTAAAAACACAGTGAGGTTTAATTGAGTCTAGACAATGTAATAATTGTGACTAAATGTAACATGCAACATGCATTATTTATTTTTTTTTGCTCTAATTTACCTTAATGACTTCTTAATATTAATTTACTTACTTTCCATTCTATATACAGTACTATTATTTATACAATATATTCATATTTCTATATAATATATTTTAAATACATATTATGTGTATGGAATGCTCTGTAATTTCAAACATTTCTCCAAATAATATTTTAAAAAAAAATATTACGAGGAATGATGTTCTGATAAAGGATTCGGATGTGTTTGTCACGGTCACTGCGATTCTGTTCATGGTGGAACCCGAGAGCATGAAGGAGTTCGTGCTGCACAGTTCCGTGATAGACACACCCAAAACGCTGGAGAGAAACAACCTGCGCTGCATTTTGGCGCCCCAAATATGAATAGCATCTGTGGACCACATAACACATCAGGTTGTATATTTATCTGAAGGGAAAGCACATTTTCTATAAACACAGAAATTGAATAGAAAGGAGCTCTGAATCCAGAGATTTACCCAGAATTAGACTTTATGTGAAGATAGTTCCTCTGTCCTTGATGAGGTACGAATCGGATGCAGGAAACCTCTGCAAAGGACTGCATAGCTCTTTTAATCACATTTATGTCCTGTGGAGCTGTGAAAGGAATAGACTGTTAACATAACATGTGGTACAGTTAGATGATATCTAATTTATTTAACATTGCCACTTACAATACTGGTTGGCAATGACGTAGGGCACATAGACTAATCCATCTCTGCTTCTGTCCCATCTGCACCCACGAGCGGTACATTGATCTGCATTCTGGAGCCCTCTTGGTACGGCGATGTCTCCAAACATGATCAAAGGCTTATCCAATCCCAGTCCTGCTTGGTATAGAATAATGCACAATAATTCAGTATGTTGATTCTGGTTATATAGTGTTTTAAAGGATGAGGTGAGCCAAGGAACCTGCCAAGAACTGCAACACAAAAGATGTGCCTATATAGCCTTCAAAGTCATACCTGCATGCTTGTTGGTTTCAGTTATAGTTGACACTGGTATATCATCTTTCTCTGTGATGTTACCTTAGATCGAATCAGTAAATCATTAATAAAACACTATAAAATTACAAGTTAGTTTTTTTCATTCTGTGCATCTTACCTGTCTTCCCAGGGATCTTTTCAATTAAATCCTGTTTTAGAATTTCAAACAAATGTGTATTAGAAACCAGTGGTTAGAAATGAAAAGCTGATCCCATTGGGACGACGCTGATGTTATCATTTTACATTTCAGATATTGATGATATATTTTTGTCTGTTCTCACCTGAATAGTACGACTCTGAGCAGGAGCAGAGCTCAGGAGTAGAGAGATGACCACCACCAAGTACATGATGAGAGCTTTCTGAGAAAATGTTCTGGCTCAAACAGGGGGGACGGACAGTTATATACACTTCTGAGAGCCTTAACTTCCTTTTCTGTGCAATAACACACCCTTCATGAATCCAGTGCCAAAATACCATGGTTTAAAAGCAGAAATGTGCTTATTTGTACAAACGCTTAAATGAGTCATTGAGTTTAAAATTAATGCTGTAATGTTGTAAATAAATCTTGTAGGGTTGATGTCTGCCAATCCACTAGAGGAGGTATCCTTTCCTATTATGTCTCCTAAATGTTTTGATTTCTTTCTTGACATTTTGCATTTCATCAAAGAATTTGGTCCATGTTTATATGAAAGCATCACGCAGTTCCTGCAGATTGGTCAGCTGCAGATCTATGATGCAAATCTACCATTCCAGCATATCCCAAATGGGCTCTATTGGATTGAGATTTGGTGACTTTGGAGGCCATGGGTATAGTGAACTATTATGTTCAAGATATCAATTTGAGATGATTTGAGCTTTGTGACGTGTCACATTATCCTGCTGGAAGTAATCATCAGAAGATGGGTCATGGTGGTCATAAAGGAATGGACAGTCACACTACTCTTCATCACTACTCATGCTCACTTTTTGCTGGCTCTGATGTTAAACGATGCTCAATTGGTGCTGTGGGCTGTGTGGAAAGTGTGGAAATTAATTTGGAAATTAAATATCCCTCATACCATTTCATCATCACCATCAACTTGAGCCATTGATTCAAGGAAGGATGGATCCATGCTTTCATGTTGTTTAAGCTAAATTTTGACCCTATTTGAATGTCGCAGCAGAAATAGAGACTCGTGTTTTTCCAATTGTTGGCTCAGTTTCCTCTTCTTAGCTGACAGAAGCAACCCCAGTGTGTCGTCTGCTGCTGTAGTCCATTTGTTTCAAGGTTGAGCGTGTTGTGCATTCAGAGATGTTCTTCTGCAGACATTGGTTGTAATGTTATTTGAGTTATTGTTGCCTTTCTATCAGCTTGAACCAGTCTGGTCATTTTCCTCATGCATCAACAAGGCATTTTTACCCAGTGAACTTCCGCTCACTGTATATTTTCTCTTTTTTTGACCATTCTCTGTAAACCCAAGATCAGCACTAAAATCACCTTTCTTTCCCATTCTGATGCACAGTTTGAACTTCAGCAGATCATATTGTTTCAAAGCAGCTTTACAGAAAGTGCATTACAGAAAAGTACATGGAAAAATATATTGATTTAATCATGTAATATTTAGGGCATAACATATCGCCGGCATTGAGTCGTTTCTTCACAGGCGTTGAGTCGTCTCTTCACAGGCATTTAGTCGTCTCATCACAGGTGTTGGGGCATGTGAAGTCTCCGTGTGAGGCTGGATACAAACTGGAGCTGACGAACCCATTTTTCTGAGATAACAGCAGAAAGGCAGATGGGAAATAATTAGCATAGCTGATGTTCATAATGATTTCTATTACACGGGAGTAGATGTTAAAAACCACAACCTCACAAACTCTCCACAACCCAAACTCTCCGCAACTCAACCATACGCGCCAACCTGTTTGACTAAGGTTGTTGAGCCCCACTGTCGCGGTAATGCAGGGTCAGTGGCAACGGTTCCGATTGTGTTTTGCGGTATAGGTGATATGCCATTGCATATCACCTACCGCAAAACACACTATCTGCCCAACCACCCACCCATTCATGCAATACACACAGGAACGTAATGACTGTAAATACTAACAAATAAACTAAAGACTCTTCAAGTTTTATAGTATTAAATGCATTCAATCTGATTCAAGAGAGGAATAGAAGTTAAGCATTATGTGAATGCTTGGCTAAAGATATGCGTCTTTATTCTAGTTTTAAACTGTGACAGCGAGCCAGAGCCTCGAACCATATCGGGAAGGCTATTCCAGAGTTTTGGAGCTAAATGCGAGAACGCCCTCCCTCCTTTAGTGGACTTAGATATCCTAGGAATGACCAGACGCCTCGAATTTAGTGATCTTAAAGAACGCAAAGGATTGTAGGGCAATAGAAGGTCCATTAAATACACAGGAGCTAAACCATTTAGGGCTTTATAGGTCAGTAGTAATTCTTTGTAATTGATACGGAACTTAACCAGTGTAGAGATGATAAAATCGGTGTTATATGATCAAAAATGTAAATTAATTCCTATAATATTATAATATTATAGGAATGTTAGGCCCTCTGCTATGTTAGACCCTCTGCGGCCTAATAGCGATCCTTGTGGTACTCCATAGTCTACTGACGTTATCTTCAATGTTTTTCCCCATTTAAACAGACAAAATCCGATAGGTACGATCTAAACCAGCTTAATGCCTGTCCCTTAACACCAGTATAGTTTTGTAGTCGATTCAAGAGTATTTTATGATCTATAGTGTCGAACGCAGCGCTAAGATCAAGTAGAACTAGTATTGAGATACAGCCTTGGTCAGAAACTAAAAGTAAATCATTTGTAATTTTAACTAGCACAGTTTCTGTGCTATGATGCGGTCTAAATCCTGACTGAAATTTTTCATAAATATTATTTTCTTGCAAAAAAGAGCACAATTGAGCGGAGACAGGTAGTATTTTAGACATAAATGGAAGATTTGAAATGGGTCTGTAATTTTAAAGTCTGCAAAGTTATTTGGATCTAATTGTGGTTTCTTAATGATTGGTTTTATTACTGCCAGCTTGAATATTCTTGGAACATGACCTAAAAATAAAGATGAGTTGATAATATTGAGAAGAGGCTTTTCCACTACAGGTAATAGTTATTTCAGAAGTTTAGTGGGTATTGGATTTAATAAACATGTTGTTGGTTTAGATGCAATGATAAGTTTATTTAGCTCTTCCTGTCCTATAGATGTAAAGCGGTGTAGTTGTTCTAGAGGGGCCATAATTGAGGCTGAATCATAAGACACCATATGGATTGTACATTTATAATTGTATTTCGGGTTGCTTTCTATTTTCTCATCGAAATAATTCATAAAATCATTACTACTAAATTGTAACGTAATATTTTGCTCTAGTGATGTCTGTTTATTTGTTAGTCTAGCCACAGTGTAAAATAAAAACCTTGGATTATTTTGGCTATTTTCTATTAGTTTGCAGAGAAGCCCTGGCTGTTTTTAGAGCCTTTTTATAACGTGACATCTTTCCACGCGATTCTAAAGACACGAGTTTCTCTCTTGATAGCATGCGTAGCACTGTTGTACCAGGGTGCTTTCGTTTTCTCTCTAACCTTTTTTAATAATTGGTGCAACAATATCTAATGTACTAGTGAAAATGGTGCTCAAACTGCTAGTTATTTCCTCTAATTCATCTGTTTGTTTGGGTTCACTTAGCAGCTTAGATAGATCAGGTAAGCTATTTGAGAATCTATCTATAGTGGTTGGAAGGATTGTTCTGCCTGGTCTACAACGTGGCGTAACATGACAGATTTCAGCAGTAGGTATTATGCAAGTTACCATGTATAATCAGTGACATCATCACGGTATAATTGGATTGGTTCCATATGATAGAATTAAATCTAGTATATAATTTAGATGAGTGGGACCACTGACATTTTGCTTGACCCCAAAGGAGTTTAACAAATTAATAATAAACACATCATTCGTATTGTCTACGTGAATGTTAAAATCTCCAACAATTATTGCTCTATATTATTATATAATTTATTATTATTAATAATACATAATTTTGCACATTTTATTTTAAAAGAGTTATACATAGTGGTCTTTGTAATTGAGTGAAATAATATTTAATTATTTAAATATTTTTAAATAAAGATCCACTCTTGGGAAAACACTCAGAGATCCATTTACAAACTAATTATTTCCATAGGTAAATGCTTGTAGACTTTTATTATTAAAACAGAAACACAATCAAAATTTTTTTTTTTTCATATCTTTATGGTGTAAGCTGTTGGAAAACATTTTCAAACCAAATTAGTATTTTCAAACTGCAATCCCTCCCTAGTCCCCTCAGAAGACCACAAACCTGGTTTACAAAGAGGAAGCTTTTATTTCTCTGGTCTACAGTTAACCACCTTTTCTTCCTAAAGAGGATGTGGAAATATTTCAAAAGATGCCTTGCACAAACTATGGTTTTACATATTAATCTGAAACATTTGCTCCATCACATTTCACCATTTAACAGACCCTCATTTCAATAAAGAGGACCTTGCGCAACCTTTCAATGTAGGAGACACTATGGCTTACAAACAGAAGGCTGGTCACCAGCTCACACACAAACCAGATAGTACAATAGACAAATGTTTATTTTATTCAGCTGAATGTTATAGAACATTCAATCTCGTCAACATGCCAAATTACCTAAAAGTTGATTTAAAATGCATGCATACAAAATATAAATGCATTTCCTAATCAATGCAATTCAAAGAAGACAGCATTCTTCCCCTATGCTGACAAAGCTTTCAAAATTCCCTTTAAATGAATCAATAAGAGAAGGAATGTCTTAAGACATACTGCAGTATAGTTTGTTAATACGAAGAATATCATTTGAACTCATTTTCACAGCTCGGCCAATAGACACGTTTTTGTCAGGAATAGGGATGATGGTTGGCTCTCTGTTCTTGGAGAAGGCAAACCTGAAACCACACAAACACTTCAGCATCAAACACAATCCAGACGCACACTTTAGTAGTTAACCCTACAAGATAGACATATATATAAAATGAGGAGAACAAGTATTTGATACACTGCGGATTTTGCAGGTTTTCCCACTTACAAATATGTAGAATATAAAAATATAGTTTTTGTGAGACTAAACTACAGCAAAACTTGCCTTCCATAGTGCATCACAGAGCTGTAGTCATAGGCAGTCTCCAGGTTCTTACTCTTGATTTTGTCAAAGTTGTACTCCTGCCCTATTACAGTGAAGAGCAATCAAAGGAGAACAATAAAAATCAATAAATTCTCTAATCCCCTATTTCTGCTTAAAAAACTCAAAAACAAGCTTTAGAGACTTTTCGCTGCATTTAACAGCAAAATGTTCTCTACCCTAATTGAAAAGATCTGCAACTACAGTGTACAAAAAAACCTGCTGAAGAAATGTGTACCAATCAGATGTACCAGGAATGATGTTTTTAAAAATGATTTGGACGTGATTGTCGCGGTCACTGCGGTTGTGTTCGTGGTGAAAGCCCAGCGTGTGAAGCAGCTCATGCTGCACTATATTCAGGGAGATGCATCCATCACGGTCCAAAGACACAGTCTGGCCTCCTGTGCGACGGCCCACAAAAGAGTAGCACCTATAGATCAGATCAAGCATGATGGAAGGATTCAAACAACACATGTAGAATTCAGTACACACACTAGAAGTACAATTCTCCTGGACAATTACAGTATGTGGCTTGCTCATGCCAGTATCAACCAGCAGGAAACAATAGAGCGTCACCCACTTCCCCTTGTAGGCATAACATTTACAGCACTACATAAAATCATACCATGTAAAGCCTTTATTCGACTAAATGTAGTGGAGTTTAACTGATTTAATACAAAACTAAATGTAAATTTAAACAGATTCAATCTGAAAGTGTACTAAGCAAGTGTCCATTGTTCCTGTGATAGATAGTTGTAGGCTAGCATAATAATTTGATTTCATGGAACATTTGCATTTTACTGAACAATATTGGATTGAGTCTGCAGTAAATAAATCTGTAAATATTAAAAATCATGATTAATACAAAGCTTTACAGTAAATTTTTAAGCACAAATATAGAGCAACAGCAATTGTTTTATAAATGAAAATCAGATTTTTACCCTGAATTAGACTCTATGTTTATATAGTCCCTCTGATTTGTGCGAGGCGTGAAGCGAATGCAGGTCGATTCCTCAAAAGATCTCAAGCCTTGAAAAATGACATCCTTCTCCTGGGAGGCTGTTGGAGAGTTAAGATATGAAAAAATGGCCAAAACAGTTATATTACGGTACAAGGTTGAGCGAGCTAAGAGCTGTCACTCACAGTATTCATCAGAGATGACATAGGGCACAAGGACTTTTCCACTTTTGCTTCTCTCCCATTTGCACCCACGAGCTGTGCATGGATCATCTGCTCTTTCTAAGTCTGTTGCTACAGCTATGTCTCCAAACATGATCGAGGGCTCATTCAGTCCCTGTCCTGTATATGAAGCAGAGAAATTGACTCAACATGAGCTTTTACAGAGAAGGAACAGCCCTGGACTGCTGACAAAATTACAAAAAGTACTAAGATACAAAAAGTAAGATGTTACGTTCCTCATCAAGGACAGTTCCTTTCCTCTCTTTATTAATGATCAATGTCCTCTCTTTATTGAGCTGCTGACATAAAAACATTCAACAAAAAGCATGTCCGCTTACCTGCATGTTTGTTGGCCCTTTCGATTATAGCTGACACAGATTTATCATCTCGTTCAGTGCTGTTATCTGAGAACCATTGTTAGTTTATTAAAATATAAAGATTTTAATTATACTGCTCATGGCCAAAGTCATATTAATGAAAATAATTTCTTACCAATCTCCTCAGAGCTCTTTCCAGAGATATCCTGTTTACGCATAATGAAACAAAATTGAAAGCGTTCACGGGAGGCTGCTGCTGATATAGTTTTCCATTTCACCTATTACCTATGCCCGTTCTTACCTCAATAGCACGACTCTGAGCTTGAAAAGAGCCCAGCAGAAGACAGATGACCACCATAAAATGCAAGAACATCATGAGAGCTGTTCTGAAACCTTTACAGGAACATGAAGGGCAAGGAAATTTGTTATTTATAATGGAAAAGTAAATGGGTATATCAGACTTAGATTTTGGTGTTTGCTTTCATTCTTTCTTTATTTTATTTTTTGGTAAGTGGAGATTTGCCCTGAAAAACAAAACAAAACTGGATTCTCCTTTTCAAACTGAATATGTTTTGAACAAAATACTTCCATGAAACAACATAAATCCTTAGATTAATCAAAAGTAACTCATATGAAATATTTTACTACACTAAGCATTAGGCCTATATGTGCATTATGATAGTTTAAATCATCTATGTTAGATCTTGATCAATCACATTTGCATTCTGAAATGTAAACTGAAACATCCTCTGATCACTATAATAAACATTTCTGTATATATCACCCTTGTTGTATAAGAGATAAACAGAAAAGACACTCACCTCACATTGGTGTAAATGTTCAGAATGACTCCAACTCCCTGCTTAGTCTCTTAAATGCTCTCCATTCAAATTTAATTCCACCACCTGTCAAATTAGAATGTACAGACAATCTCAGACGATTTATGAAACCACTTAATTATCCAGAGATGTACAGATAAACAGTTCTGTCTGATGAAAGAGTATCTTGAGAGTATCAGCTTCCAGGCTTATAACACATATGCATTAACTCATTCAGTCCAATTCCAATACTAGATCAAAATGATAAACTTTATAATGAGAAATCAGCTAAGATTTCACTGGTCTTTATTCCTTGTTTTTCTTTTCTACAGTTTAATCACAAACAAGTATATGCCGCAAAAAAAAAAAAAAAAAAGCAAGGCATTGTAATAGTTGTTCAGAGTGCATAAAACAAATAATAACAACAACAACTAAAATATAAAATGAACATGTATGTAAAAATTAAATTAAATACAAATAAATGAAAAAAATTACTGGGATAAAAAATGATATATAATATTAGGGCAGTTACATGAATTTGAAAAGCTTAAATTATCGTTTTTATAAGATTTTTGTTTTGTGATCTCACTTTTGAAAAAGTTTCAAAGTATAGTGTGAGATTGGTGTTATAAAAGGTAATATATATATATATAATATATATATATATATATATATATAGTTAGTTAGGTCAGTTTTGTAGTATGAATATTCAACTTTGCGAAATAAATTAAAATTTAATAATATAAAAAAACAAAGTAAATTGTCATGAGGTTCCAAATTAAGAATTCTTTTTTGTAGTGTCTATTTTAAAGTCAGTCAGTTGAAAAAAAAAAATGAAAAAGGGAAACACAAAAATAAATGTTCCAGATCTTCAAATGATGTTACAAAAAATAAATGTACCACAAACAGCATGAATATATATCTACCAATGGCTGCATTTACAGGATAACATCTATGAATAATTGTATAAATTATTTTTTACTTTATTAGAAACAACATGTTGATATGGTAATGTCCAAATGCTGTGCAAGAATATGCAATGATTTTGATTTTGGAGTACTGGATCCAACATTCAAGGAATTTCTTATAATATTGTTATTAAAACCTTTATTAAAAAAAGGAGAGACCATTTACAAAAAGTTAAGGATTTTGGGTAACACTTTATTTGAAGGGGTGTGCATAAGACTGTCATGACACATAAACATGCCATAAACATGACATTTTTGTCTTGGTCATGACAAAGACATTTTAAACAATGTCAACTTTGCATTTAAAGTGTCATAATTTACCGAATGACACTTAATGACAACAGTCATAAACATTCTTAAAGACCCCTTCATGTTCATGACAGGTGTTATGTCATGTTTATGACAGTGTCGTCAGTCTTATGCACACCCCTTCAAATAAAGTGTTACCGGATTTTGTAAGGTTGTTGTAGAATCTGGTTAAGATTATTATGCCTGGGGATGGCCTTTGTTAAATTCTTTTTCATACTTCGCTGGTGTCTTTGTTTTCATAAATTATGTGAAGAGGTTTTAGGCCTTAAATATAAAAGTATTATAACACAGAAACATTAAATTCAAATATTTAAAATGTATGTCATGAAAATTGCTATGTTTAAAGCTACTTAGAGCTGGTCTAGTGAGTCAGTCACGGGGCAATATCCAAAATAAATTGAACTGGCCCCCCTAACCCCGCTCTCCAAGTACGTTCACTGTTAGTAGCGCATCACAAATACCACACAGAACACAAACACACACACTCACATTCTACCCAAGAACATTTCATAACCGGAACGGAACTAAAAAAAAATGTTTAAAATAACCAAATAACCAATGTCAATAATAGATCAGGCCAAGGCGACTGCATGCAAACATAACTGATCTTGACACAGCAGCCAAACATGTAAAAACACAAGTTGCATAGGCCTTTATTTTGGCAAATTCATCCACGATGTCCTTCCTTTTTTGGTGTTTATAATTCAGGGCTTCATGGCATGCATTCTCAATGAAAATATCGTCTGTTATGCGACATGCAGCCTAAGCCTCAATTTATTAAGGCCTATTTTTTTTTTTTTAGCTTCTTCAGTTTTGTTAGCGCTCCGCTGAAGCAACAGTAGCCAAACCTATCACACTGTATCTTTTTAATTACAGGGAAACAAGAAATTACTGCATCCATACAATAAATATATTTATTGAGGCCGGTCCACTAATTAAAAATTAATTCCATTGATCTAATTGGGCGGTGAGTCCCCAATCGGTCCCGGCCCATTTGCACCTGCCCTACATCCCCACTGCGCCGCCACTGCACTGGCTGTCTGGGCCATACATTTTAGTGCAGCATTTATAAAGCCTATTTATGCAAACTTTGAAGCAGGCTTTGAAGCAGGCACAGAACTACATAGGGCAGCTCAGCTCTGGGGCAGCTTACCTCTACTATCTAAACGAAAATAACACTCATTGCGTTGTTCTGTTCATAAAATACTGTAAATACAATTTAAATATAATTTTACTTCAATGAACATTCAGCAACGTAGCAGTAGCCAGACAACTCATAACTATATTAGGCTCATATAACTTAACCCAATTTCTCTAGCATACAGCTGTGCATGTAATGTGATGTAAGAGTGCGCCACCTGCCGGCCCGAATAACGAAGAAAAAGCTTCCAGTCAGGTGATCAATGTCAACGAGGAACGTCATCGCTTGTTGCCATGTCCGCTTTTTTATAAGCGACTCTTAGAAGTCATTTAAAATATAGGAAATGTGTTGCGGTTTTTAGCATTACATTTTATTTGTATTATTCGTGCCCGAAAAGGGTATCACTTGGGTACAGCACGAAAGTATGACCGACCACTGTCGTCATTTTCGTAGCTTTCTACATAATATCATGATTATTCTCCTGAATTTGTTTTAGTTTCTCCTGCCCTTCACTCACTTACCCCCATTATATGTCTATCTAACTTTACAGGTTTGGTGCACGCGCGCGAGAGACAAAAAAACATTAATTTCATTAGATAGAGGCTGAATGTGAAACATTTGTAATTTTTGGTAAAGTATTAAAGGAAATCTGGCAGTCATCGTCTGTGCAAAAAACGGAGATAGACTATTTAGGCCTATGTTCGTGAGGAAAATGCTTATTTTAGGCTTAGACTGTAATACTTTTTTTGTGAGATCTGGCAACACTGTTTTGTGCGTATTACCAACGGACCTTCTCTGTCAAGGAGGGGGACGTTTCGGATTGTCTTAGTAATGGCGGACACATGTGGCCAAGTCCTCCTTGGGTCTGGACTGACAGTCCTTTCCCACCCTCTTATGTACATCAAGGTTTTAGTTCAGGTAAGTTTTAAACATTACACGCAAAAATGACACCAGCAGCAAGTCCTCGACTGCACATGCGCTGCTGTCGAGCAGTTTCGATAGCATGTTGATACATGTTAGCCAGTTGGTTTGTTAACAGTTAGTTACCTGTTTATATGGTAATATTTCTTTCTCAGACAGGAACATTTTTGTGTGCAGTACATGTGTGTACAGGTATAAAGATGTTAATGCTCATTAGTGTGTTGTTATTAACTGTTTTATCAGGGTTATTGGCCGCTGTCTATCTTATGTTAATGCTCTGAAAGGTCAACCTTTAAGGTCTGACAGAAATCATTTTTATAGCAAGTTTAGCACATATACTAACAACTCATTCTTTTGTAATGTGTAACATATGTCCCCTGGAAACAACGCGAAATGCATATTCACATCAGTGCCTGGTGTCATTCAGGGTTGTGGTAAAGCAAGCACGTCTGTCTTTCTGGGTATTGATTAAGGTTGCTGCAGGTTATTGTTTGTGATACCAGTAAGGCGCTGTGCTTTACATTTACACTGTACTGCAGTCTGAACAAATGTATCAATGGTGGTGTTGTAGGCAAACACTGATGTCACCCCATTTATTTTGTGAAAAAGTGGAAGAAAATTGATTCTGCTAAATAACATAATAAGCCTTTTCTTATTTTTAAAATCTAAATGAGGTTTATACCTAATTTCACATTGTTTACTACTGATATATTGTGACGTGTTTTCACAGTATTGTATTATTAAAAAAGATTGTCTTTCTTCCAGGTCAGATATTGTAACAATACTACTGCCTCATGTCTACATGTTTACAATTTCACACCTGTCTTTAATGGCACACTAACTTATTTGTAACTTTGCAAATATAGGTTGGACATGAACCCCTTCCTCCTACTCTAGGCAGGAATATGTTTGGTCGACAAGTGTACCAGCTTCCAGGCCTCTTTGCATATGGTAAGATTAAAAAGATACTCCCCCCCCCCCCATTCTGTCATCATTTACTCACCCTCAAGTTGTTGCAAATGTGTATGAGTTTCTTTCTTCTGCTGAACACAAAAGAAGATATTTTGAAGTACGATTGGAACCAAACAGTTGTTTGGCACCTTTGACTTCCATCGTAGAAAAAATGGTGCCAAAGTTCCAGTCGTTCTTCAAAATATCTTCCTTTGTGTTTAGCAGAAGAAGGACACTCATACAGGTTTGCAACAACTTGAAGGTGAGTAAATTATGACAATTTTCATTTTTGGGTGGAGTATCCCAAATGGTTGCTTCTACAGTGTGTATACTTCGCCATTCATTTATATGGTCTCCCCTATAATAAAATCTGGAAAATGCTTGCATTTCTTATGCTTTCATTTATGTCTTTCAGCCAAACACATCATCAAAATCGATGGGAAATCAGGCCTGTTTAAGGGTCTCGCTCCAAGGCTTTGTGCTGGGACCATTGGCACCATTGTCCACAGTAAAGTCTTGCAGGTACGAAATGCACACCAGGTTCTTCAGAGGTTTATTTCTTGTAGACCTCTTTGATAAGAAAGTGTCTGCCAAGAACAGAAATAGAAAGGAATTTTATCATACAGAATATGCTAAGAATGGATTGATTGTAGGAAAGATACCAGAGAACTTGTGTAGCTGGTAGTTGATGAAAGTCATAGCCATTCACCAGATTTTGGGATGTCTGAATGGATTAATTTAGAAGAAAATCATTGTCATTATGATTATTATTATTTTTTAATTGTTTTTAGAAGCTTTTGACCATGATTCCATTCATTTGGAGGTCCTCAAACATGTTTGATGTATTTTGCTGATTTTAAAACTCATGTTTTCATATACTATAAAAACGAGGCACATATTTCTTTGAGTTTGTTGTAATTTTCGAATGGCTTGAAAGTCTGGAAGTTCAAGGATTACACTTCCTGTCCTTTAGTGTATGATGCCCAGTTTTCTCTGTAATATTAAGTCAGCAAGTGTATCATGACCTGTGTAAAAGTCATGTTGTGTATTACAGCCTTTAGTTAGGTTTCTTTAACTGTGATCTGTGCAGAGTGTTACTGGCTGTGCTGTTCAGACTGTTGCAATGTGACTTGCAATTTTGTGGCTGGGCACAGTTGAGCAGAGGTTATCTATACTTCTTATCTGACTTTAACTTTTGTTATAACCCACAGAAGTGCCAGGAGGAAAAAATTGAGGTAGGAACACATGCATGTTTGCAGACGCATTATTTTAGTGCTTCAGTCCACCCTTTCTTTCTTTCTTTCTTTCTTTCTTTTTCTTTCTTTCTTTCTTTCTTTCTTTCTTTCTTTCTTTCTTTCTTTCTTTCTTTCTTTCTTTTTCTTTCTTTCTTTCTTTCTTTCAAACTTTCTTTCAAACTTTCAAACTTTGGCAGTGATATAATAGCATGCATCTCATTTCTTCGCCCTCTCAGATGGTGAAAAGCGGCCAGGATGGTTCTCTGCAACATATAGTAAATGAGGTGAGATGTAAGCTTGTATGTAAGCGGAGGCGTGTTCACATGGTCACAAGTCTGATGTGAGTGAATGACATGTAGAAAATAATTCAAAACAGGCTGTCATGTTTGCACATTGTTGTCTGAAATCTGAAATGTTTTGTGTCTATTTTTGATGTTTTTTCTACTTTCCTTTCATTTAATTTGTTCTCTCAGACCACTAAAGAGATGATTGCACGCTCATGTGCTACAATTTTCACGCACCCTTTACATGGTAAATACAGTTAATACAATAAATAACATGTTTTGTTATTTGAATCTCACTTTTCTCTCAATCTGTGAATGCCACTGTTGTCTTTTCTCTATTCAGTGATCACTCTCAGATGCATGGTCCAGTTTATTGGTAGAGAAGCCAAATACTGGTCAGTCATTTTCTTTCTCCTGGGATTTCATGATTTCTTCTCTGCATCACAAATTTACATTTTGTTTGTTTGTTTCTTCCAGTGGCGTCTTTGATTCCATAGTTACCATCTACAGGGAAGAGGGAATGCTGGGTTTTTTTGCGTAAGTGCAATCCGTTTCAAAATCAGTCAAACCTCACAAATGTACTAGTAATTTAAAGTAGTAAATAAAAATTGATTGGTTTTGACATTTTCCTGAATTTTGTCAGGCAATTTTACAACTTATCCAAACCATCTTTAACTTTACTGTTTATGTGTTTGTCAACCCACAGTGGCCTCATTCCACGTTTACTGGGTGATGCTCTTTCCCTGTGGATCTGCAACATCCTTGCTCACTTCATAAACACATACACTATAGATGACTCGGTACGTAAACACACACACAAACTCATGTATGAACAATAAAGCATCTGGAATCTAGATTAAGTATGTGAGATACTTTCATTTTTCTGTATTTATTGTTTCATCATTGCATAGTGTTCTGCTAGAACAACAGTTGTACTTATGTAGCGATCATAGTTGCAGTTTGTATACTGAGTTGATTATCCTGTTGTGCCTATCTCAGACGAGTCATACAGGAGAGATCAAGAACTGCTCTCAAGCTGTGACCGGGGTAAGTCATCTGACACGAGCTATTCACATGATCACTGGGAAGCACAAAGTATCGTCTGATTCTTTTTTTGATACCACCCTCTATAAAGCATGCGAATCATTCGCATATTGTACCAAATTTTGAGCTAAGAGACTAAATGTCTGTCAATCAACAGCCATTGGCTGGTAAATTGTTTGATTTTACTCGCAGCACTGATATATTTCGTGTACTGTCCAGTAAGCACCTAGAGCACCTACTCATTAGAAGACTTGGACTGATGGAAAATAATGCCAAGCTCATTTATCAAGGTGTTGAATTAATTGAATAAACTAAAGTGTTTATCTTAAATTAAAATATAGGAGTAGAAAACACAATACAATTATTGTTTTTTGAAAACCAGATGACAGCTGAAAGAGTGAATTGGAGAGAAATGTTTTGCTTTATATATGTGGGTCTGTGTTTGTCTGGCGAGTAAAAAAAAAAGTATTAGCCAATAGTGATTCTATTTTTAATGTGTTTGAAAAGGGCTATTTTGATTTTCTGAATAGGTTTTGCCATTGCTCTCATTCTAACATTTTTTTGTTTTGTTTTTCCTTTTTGACATTTTCTCAGTTTTTTGCAAGTATGCTGACGTATCCATTTGTATTGGTGTCCAACCTGATGGCAGTAAATAACTGTGGGTAAGGGACTTTGTGTGACTAGTGGATGCGTCTGTGAGTGGCGTTAAAGGAGATTTGCATGCCTAGTGATTCAATAGTCAGAGATCTGGTTTCTTGGCTTCATGAGAAGCTTTTAATCTTAAACTTGTTAAATGCTTTCACCTCATGATCAAGTTCTCAATTACTCACTACTTCTATTGGCATGTAGGCTATCTGTATTTTCTAAACTAATTCTTACCATATTTAAGACTAATGCAGGTATACAGATAATAATTTGTAAGTAATGTTTCTCCTGATCTGACCCAGGCTGGCTGGAGGTCTGCCACCTTATGCTGCCATTTATCCCAACTGGCTCCACTGCTGGGGTCACCTGAGCCGAGAGGTGAGCAGGTTTTTTGAAATGGGGATTTGAGATTTGTTAACTGTTCTGAATGTCTCCGTTCAACTGCTAATGACCTTCTAATATTAATTGGAAACTGACTTGGCTAATCAAGTTAAATGGCTAATAGATTTAAAGCACCATCCTGCTGTAGTAATGAGTTTAACTATGTGACTGCATAAAACAATCAAAAAGAGTTTTATTCTAGTCAGCTGGATCTGTTTCTCCTGTTGCTGAAGTAGTTTCTCTTGTCATCTAAATAAGTTCATCTGTTGACTGGATGAGTGGCAGAACATCTTTAGCAACAGAGAAAAATATTTTGTTGACCACTATGTCTAGAAGTGACCTAGTACCTAAAACACTTCACAGATTTATTAGAAATTGTTACCATTTGAAGAAACTGTCCGATAATCTAATTCTGATTCCTCCTTCTGTCCTTGTGTGTCTCAGGGCAACATGAGCAGAGGCAACAGTCTGTTCTTCAGGAAGTTGCCTGTCGGGAAGATGTATGCCATTGAGCAGAAGAGATTTTTTTGAATGGGAAGCTATCAGCATAGTCTATAATTCTGATAATATAATTGAGATGACCCACAAAGTTGGACTCCTAATCCTTCGTATGCACTTGTTTAAGACGACAAACGTTTTTTGATAATCAGTCTGCATCAGCCTCCAGGATTATTACTGTTAATTTTATCAGTACCTTTTCACTACATTGTGATTTGCATTGATTTGAAAACATGAAGAGCTTTATTTTAATACCCAGGGATTTGTATACATAACCAAGTAAAATAAATCACAGTATAATTCCAGCGACGCACTCAAGGGCGCTCTTGACTCTCTGTGCCCCTTAGAACTGTTTAATTTTTTTTTTTGCTTGACCATAATGCTCGTCAGTAATTATAGATCTGTGTTTGTCTCTACTGGTTCATGCACTGACTGACTGACAGACAGACAAGAAATGATCTGTCCTGTTAATAACAGACTTGCTTGTGTTTATGTGAGGGGAAGTTTATGCAGCACTTTGAGTCATTGTATTGTCTACCTGATGTGTTTAGCATAACTTGGATGAGCTTGACTGTCACCTTAGTCATTTTGACACATAAGCCTCTGTGACTTCATATCAGTGAGTGAGGTTTGGACAGTGTTTGGTGTGGAGGTTGACTTCCACCCACCTCTCCGTCAGAGCTTCATTCCAGTCAGAAACAGTTAAAATTTTTATTTCTAACGACATTCAAATGGACCCAAATAAATGTGAGAATGCTATTTTGGTCTTTGTGTCTTTGCTGTCCATTATCTGCACAACAGACTAGTGCTAAACATACAACAACAATCTGTAACACATTGTATTTCTTTCATCTTTAATTGTATTGTCATTGTGCAGAAAACAAATACGGGGCAAATTACATGCAGTCTAACAAGAACTGCAAATAGCATATTATTTACCTATGATGCGAGCAAGAATATGCAGGCGGGGGATGATTTATTAAATAGGTTTGTATTAACAACTATGGATTTAACAATGGGTCTTCAACAGAGGGTCTTGCCAGTTGTTTAACCCTCAATCAGGTCATCGTTATGACCCCAATCAACTTTTACTTAATAATAAAAAAAGGTTCCCTTCATCTCAGTGGAATAAGATTTTGTGACTTTTCATACATTATCTATACGCACACACACACACAAAAAAAAACGGCTTGATTCGGTTGTTCTGAAGGTATGTAAGAAAAATGTTTACACGTCTGGTCTTCGGGGTCAATATAAATATGGAAAAAAAAAACTAAATATATTTTCTTCATGTGTCAAAAAATAATAATAAATCTGAAAAATTTTTACACAGAAATGAAGGCCTAGTACTAGAGCATAAATGCAATCTATCATAAAAAAATAACATTTCATATGCAAGCTAACTGTGTGGTTGAGGATTTGCGTGGTATATGGATACAAAAGTACTTTATATCTCCAAAAACACAGCATGAATTAATAGATTAGAAGTAAACAAAAAAAATGATTATTTGTATGATTAAAAATGTATATCTTTTGTACAATTGCTAAATCAATTGTTGGGGTCGTAGCCTGAAGCCCAGAAGTGTAAACAAGAAACGAAGACCATTTGAAGGTTAATAAAATGTTTGTGGGGTGAAAATGCATTAAATAAAATTATTAGTAGTCTATCAACCAAAGCTAAATTTTTAATTGTCATGTCTACATTGAGTATTATGTAAAACGTAAATAAAAAGTACAATTATGGTTTTGAACATCAATATTTGAATGCCTGTGAAATCAACACAGGAAAATAGTATTATGGTACAATATGCTTTTTTTTTTTTTTGGATAGATTTACTACACTCAGAATTTTTTTATTTGGTCAAATTGGATCAGTTGATCTGAACCCTCTTAAAGAGTACTTCTTTTTATTTATAAAACTTATTGAGTGCTGCTTATTCTGTCTCACTATCCTGAAAGGGGTTTTAATATATCTGAGCTACGTAAAAATCCGTTCTTCTCCTGTTTCATAAACGAGACCCTAATCAGCGGGAGCGTTCGGGACCGTCCGGGACGGATGACTCCTATGAAAACCTATCAGTTTTCATCCGCGCCAGGTCGGGGCAGTGACGCTCACTGACGTGATCCACAAAACACAAACACGTTCCTGAGAAGAAGAAGCGTTTCAAGATGTCGTCGCTGAATGACAGATCAGTTTGGGATGAGGTGGAGGTCTGTTTTATGTTTTTTTTAGGTTCAATTATACTTCCCAAAACTAGTTAATGTTGTATATATGTGGAGAAACATGTCGTACGTTAAAAGACACGTGTTTAAATGATGTTTGAGCACGGGCATTGTGTCTGATGGAAGAGCATAGCATGACACAGTGAATTTCATTTCGCTTCATTCCCTTTTTATAAGCGTGTGCGTTCATCCCCTCGATCATTCAGCGTGATAAATAATGATAGATCGACTCTACTGATTAAAATTCGTTCCAAAATTACAGGAAGATCACAATACATCTTTAGTAAAAGTGTGGTTATAACTTGCTAGCATAACATTAGCAGAGATAAGCTAACGGTGTTCATGGAAATGGGAATCGATGTTTTCTTCTGCTCGTTAAGTTTTATCAGATGTTCTCCGCGTATTCCGATGCATGAATTATTAGATATTATTAGATTATTATTATTTGTGAGGTTAGGGTCCGGAATACTTAAAAACAGGCAGGCAGACAGACCTGCTAATAAATAAAGATTATTATTTTTCACATAAGACCTGGTTGTATTTTACAGGATGGCATCGGCGAGGAAGTTCTTAAGATGTCCACTGAAGAGATTGTTCAGAGGACTCGTCTTTTGGACAGTGAGATTAAGGTAACCTTCATACTGTAAATCATATTAATTGTACAGAGGATTGTTTTCAGTATCTGCGTGTCATTTAATATGTGTATGATTTCAGATCATGAAGAGTGAGGTTCTGCGTGTCACTCATGAGCTGCAGGCCATGAAAGACAAGATCAAGGAAAACACAGAAAAAATCAAAGTGAACAAGACTCTGCCTTACCTCGTTTCAAACGTCATAGAGGTAAAAATATGGGGCAGTTGGGAGCTTTTTAAATGCCTTTATGTATGTGTATGAGATTTACAGTTTAAATGCGTATGTTTGAATGGAAGCTGTTGGATGTAGATCCTAATGACCAGGAAGAGGATGGGGCCAACATTGATCTGGACTCTCAGAGGAAGGGCAAGTGTGCCGTCATCAAAACCTCCACACGGCAGGTGAGTCAAATAGATTTTATGAACAGCTGCAGTCTTGTTTTTCTGTAGCTGACCATCATGCTTTTTTTCTTCTTTACAAACATTTTCCAGTACTTTTGTGTAGGTTTTAATATCTTTGTCTTAAAGGGCAAATTGCTGGTTAGAGGACCCAGTGATGAGACAATGCATAGAAAAATATTGTAGGAACTAAATTTCTGAGGCTCCAGAAGAGTTTTTGTGAGAATTGTACTTCCAACCTCCACAAACAATAATACTAAATACTTTAGTCCTAATATTACTAAATACTTCAATAATTCTAAATTAGTGCCCTTATGTCGTTTTAAAACATTTTAAGTCCTGCATTAACTTTTCATATGGTATTATCATACAAGGTAATATATTTTCTTACCTGCAATATGCTCTTTAAAATATGACATGTATATTAAAAGGTGTTGCATTCATTTTAAGAATTTCTGTTCATACCCTGAATATAGTGATTCCCTGAAATTTCAAAACCAAAAATATTAATCTGAAATTGTGTCGCACTTTAGTTTAGGGTCCAATTCTCACTATTAACCAAGTATTAACTACTACGTTTGCTCAATAAACTCCAATTACTGCTTATTAAGATACTTTGCAAGTTAGTTGTTAAGTTTAGGTATTGGGTAGGATTAAGGGATTTAGAATATAGTCATGCAGAATAAGGCATTAATATGTGCTTTAAGTACTAATAAATGGCCAGTATGCTAATAATATACGTGATAATGAGCAACTAGGCCTAGTTCATATTGAGAACTGGATCCCAAGCGCGTGGACTGTTCTCAGAGGTGACATTGTCCAAGTTCTGTGTTTCTATTATACATTTACATTTAATCATTTAGCAGACGCCTTTAACCAAATTGACTTACAACTGAGGACTAAACCAAGTGGCTATTCGTGAAGAGGCAAAAACAACGCAAGAATTGCTTGAAATACATTGCTGATTTAATTACAAAAAAGTTATTTTTGGTTTTGTCGTTTCTGTAAAAATTAAATTCTGTTAATCACTAATATTTAGTGCTCTAATTGCAGACCTATTTCCTGCCTGTGATTGGTTTGGTGGATGCTGAGAAACTGAAACCTGGTGATCTTGTGGCAAGTAAAAATTAATTTCACTTGACAGATTTGTTCAGGATATACTCATTCTTAAACTGTGTTGTTTAAAAAGTCTGTTTTGCTTAGAAATGTGTTGAATGTGCTTCTGGGCCTGTTTGCAGGGTGTGAATAAGGACTCCTATCTGATTTTGGAGACTCTACCCACTGAGTATGACTCTAGAGTTAAGGCCATGGAAGTGGACGAGAGGCCTACAGAGCAGTACAGTGACATTGGTGGCCTTGACAAACAGATCCAAGAGGTACTGGCTGATAAATTGCCTCATCCCAGTCACCAGAAGTTGCTCACAATGACAGTTTGGCAGTTGCTGAGCTCACTGCTTTTCTCTTTGCAGCTAGTGGAGGCGATTGTTCTGCCCATGAACCACAAAGAGAAGTTTGAGAATCTGGGCATCCAACCGCCAAAGGGAGTGCTGATGTATGGACCACCAGGCACAGGAAAGACCTTGCTGGCCAGAGCCTGTGCAGCCCAAACTAAGGTGTAGTGTCTCTGAGCGAGAGACAACCATCATTGCTGTGCTGCTTTTATAATGGATAACAAATGTCTATAATGTGGCTTATTAACATTCACTACAGTTTTTGTGTTGGTGTCTCAGTCTCACATTCTCACTTTTGTCCTTTCTCAGGCAACATTTTTGAAGTTGGCTGGCCCTCAGCTGGTGCAGATGTTTATTGGTGATGGTGCCAAACTGGTGCGTGACGCATTTGCTCTCGCCAAGGAGAAAGCTCCCTCCATCATCTTCATCGATGAGTTAGACGCTATTGGCACCAAGCGCTTTGACAGTGAGAAGGCCGGAGACCGAGAGGTGCAGAGGACCATGCTGGAGCTGCTCAATCAGTTAGACGGCTTTCAGCCCAACATGCAAGTGAAGGTACGCACTTGTGGCCATATGCTACTCTGTCACAAACATGGGCCTGTCAGCCTTATATTGCAACTTGTTTTTTCTTGTTTCCTCCAAGGTGATTGCCGCCACTAACAGGGTGGATATCCTTGACCCGGCTCTGCTGCGTTCAGGTCGCTTAGATCGTAAGATCGAGTTCCCCATGCCCAACGAGGAGGCTCGTGCTCGCATTATGCAGATCCACTCGCGCAAGATGAACGTCTGGTATGGAACATTTATTCTTTTGCATCTCAGTGTGGTCTTAGGTGTTGTGATGAGAAAATATAGATTTAATTTATTTATTAATAGTTTGAGTGTTTGCTTGCTTTTGCTTTTATGCATTTGCTTTCAAATGGTCATCCACTGAGACACGAGTGTAGTAGTTGTGTGGTAGAGCACACTGTACAGTCAGCTGCACGATTCTGGATACATTTAAAATCATGATTTTTTTTGTTTCAAACATAGATTACTATTCTGAACAGAGAACTAAATAAAATAACATGTAATTTACTAGAGGTTCTGACAAAATATTACTGGTAATTGCTGCGTTCTATTTAATATAATTAAATGTTTAATTGAAATGAAATGAATATTAACAAAAAACTTGTTTCATTACTGGATGAATCGGGTATTTATAAACATCTCTTTAATGAATGATATAATGATTCACTAATAAATACTTAACTTGTTTCATCGCTGAATGAATCAGTGTTTTTGAGCAAATCTTTCAATGACAAATGCAATTTTTAACAGTCACTTATCTGTTGCATACCTGCTCTAATCGATAATAATTTTGAAGCAACCATGTACTTTCAAAAGGTGATTTGCTCTATTTTACATCGCTACCTTAGACACCAGTTTTTATATCCAAACTAAAGTGCAACTGTTATGGAAATTTAAATTAGAATTGTAAAAAATGTGTTCTCTCCCACTATTTATCACATTATCCCTAATTTGTTTTGTGTGCTGTAGTCCTGATGTGAACTATGAAGAATTGGCACGCTGTACTGATGACTTCAATGGAGCTCAATGTAAAGCCGTGTGTGTTGAGGCTGTAAGTATGATCATTGCAACCTTTATTTAATTTACCTACTTTTTATATCTTTTTTGTGTTGTGGTGTAATCATTGTGGTAAAGGCCCTGAACTCGGATGTCATTTGTGTGATAAGTTGAGATTTCAAAAGGGGCAGGCACGTATACAAAAAAGTGCTCTGGCCTTTCACATGCTTTAATTCAAAATACAACCCATCTGACTGTCACTTGTTTTAATGCACAAATAAACCTAAAAACCTTTTTTTCTTGCAAAACAATTTGAATCAAACACTTTAATGCTCTACTTAACTTTAGTCATTACTCCTGATTGTATAACATGAGGTTAAATACACATGTATTGTTCAATTTTGTGTGTTAGGGCATGATTGCTTTGCGGCGCGGGGCCACTGAACTTAACCATGAGGACTACATGGAGGGCATTCTGGAGGTGCAGGCGAAGAAAAAGGCCAATCTGCAGTACTATGCTTAATGCAGTGGATGGCTCTGTGAGTGTGTCTGTGTACACCTGCATATGTGTGTGCAAGTGTGTGCGTATGTGAGCGTGTAAGTGGTCCAACAGCAGCTGTGTACCTGTGCTGCTGAGATCCAGTAATGTTCTGAGTAATTACCTGGTTCTGATAGAGAAAGTTCAGCCTAATTTAGATTGCACTGCCTCACAGTGATGACTTGTGGAATCATTTTCAGTTAACCTTATGTTTTTCTCTCAATTCAGTAAAACACAAAACTTTTTTCCATTATTTGTTTGTGCCTTCTTTCTATGAAATGTTATTTTTCTGCATATCTCCACTGTTGTTATTAGAGATTAGGAAAATCAGTAGTGATTTATCCTAATTTTGTAATTAAGCTCTCCTTTTTTCACATCTTAAGTGTAATTTGTAATTTTCAAATCTGCCTTTTTTCCATACAAACAATTAGTCCCATTCAAAACTCATGCCATTGGTTTCACCAATGCTGCTGCATTGTGCCAATCCTGCTTGAGATCCTCAGACAAAGAGGAAAGAAAGATTACAGCCTTGAACCTACATTGCTAGGATTGAAGAAAATTTTTAAACTTTTTCCCTTATCATTTTTTTTGAACAAACTTGCATTTATACATACAAAAATAAATGCCTTCTGATCCTAGAAGTCATTGATATGACTAAATAGACTCTCAATTTTATTGTTCATGTAAAAATGATTGCATATAATGGCAAATAACATACTGTAGCTGGTCATAATTCATCAGCATGCCCACACTGCACAAACAGTTTGAGTTGCATCTTTATGATGGGAAGTACAGGTGTACTTTAACTTCTTAGCTCCTCTTTACTCTGGCTTTATGTCATGGGGAATCGTCTTATTATCAGTTCCCACATTTTGTTGATATTGGCAATTTGTTTTCTTGAGGGGGTGAAGCCTGATCTCACAGATGAATGGGTAAAAAAATAGATTTTTCCACAGAAATGGTCCAGCTCAGTCCCAGAGTCTGTTTGCTAAATCAATCTGTTTGCCTCTCTTCATTGCTCATCTCTACTAACTGTCACTTCATGTGTCCCAGATGGTATTGTTGAACTCTTGCGTTGCTCCTTCTCTCCTCCCTTCTGACCTCTGCATTTGACCCATAAGCACACGAGCAGACCGCTGCAGTGCTTCCTGAGTGCTGGGTCACAGCAAGCATACAGCAGAGGGTTCAAACAGCTGTTTATGTAGCCTAGACAGATGGAGTATGGATGTGCCGCCACCAACCACTGGTCGAAACTGCAGGAAAAGGGAAGGATTCCCAGTTCCACCATAGCAGAGAGTGTCTTGTTGGTGTGGAAGGGTAGCCAGCAAAGGAAGAAGGCAAGCACAAGGGTGATGATGATGCGGAGGAGCCTGCGTTGGCGCGTATGATCGGGGCGCAGGCCTAGGCTGAAGTGTCGGGAAAGGAGACGCCCCAGCCAGCCGTAGCAGAGCAGAAGCACCACCAGGGGTAACAGAAAGCCAAGAAGAGTTGATTTTAACCCCAAAGCTGCTGACCACATCAGCTCCGCTTGCTCTGAAGCTGCAGGGTCTAGTTCCCTTGAGATCAAACTGGAATAGTCCATGTCACACAAGCAGGAGAAGGCATGTTCATCCTGCCTGTCGCCATCAGCCCCCACTTCCAAATCCACCTCCCTAACAGTCCGTAGAAGTAGAGCGGGCAGTGCCAGGATTCCAGCCGTCAGCCACACGGTGCCCACAATCCACTTGGCACGTGTGGCTGACCGTCCCTGCTTCGGTCCATTTCCACGCTGTCGTATGATGACGTAGTAGCGCTCCACGCTAAGCCCAGTCAGAGAAAACACACTCGCGTACATGTTCAGTGCCACGATGTAACTGCTCACCTGACACAGAACTTGGCCAAAGGGCCAGTGATAGCCCAGTGCGGTGTATGTCGCCCACAAAGGCAGGGTCATTACGAAGGCCAGGTCAGCCAATGCGAGACTGGCTATTAAAGACTCGGTCACTGAACGAGAAGATGTGGCGCGGCAAAGAGGAGGATCGGAGGATTGGGAAGATTTGGAGCAGCTGCCAATCCTCCCGCGGCCTCTCACTCGGCGGTCCAGGTACACCCATAGCACTAATCCGTTACCCATGGAGCCCACAACAAACACCAAGAGGTACACACTCGGAATCAGCACCCAAGTTGGAGACCATTCACTGTAGTCGCATGAGGGAAAGGGTGAGGGAGAGGGTGAGGGAAAGGACAGAGACCCAGACATCTGAGAGCCACACACTTGCACCTACTGCAGAAAGCAAGTAAATGACATGAGCAGGAAAGAGAACTGAGAGTTTCTTATGGGATCTAGAGGGATAGAATGTTTTGGAGTGATAGTTTTCCAGAAACGCTTCTTTCGGAACTGATGATTGGATGACCTTTATCCTCGTTTTTCTTCTTGTTTAATCTATGTTTGGCAGTTTCCCATGAATGAACTGAAAGAGTCAGTGACTCTTTCTTCCTCCTCAATCTTCTTCAATTTCTGTGGGCTATCACTTATCGACAAAATTGGAAGAAAAACAGATTATTGGTTTAGGTTAAAGATTAAACTGTGCATTCAAAATAGATGAGAAAGAACTTCTCATATTATTTCTAAATCGTAAATAACAGTATGTGACAGTGGCACAATGGAAGAGTCAAACCACTCTGTAAAGTCTATTCAATCCAACACATCCCAAACACTTTCAATGGGGTTAAAGTCAAAGCTCTGGTGGTTAATTCATGTGTGAAAATGATTCCTCATGCTCCTTGAACCACTCTTTCCAGTGGTTTGACTCTTCAATTGTCAAACTGAGTCTTAAGCCATTTTCAAGAAACGGCTGAAGACGCATCTTTTTATGTGAACACTTGACCCATTAATATTAACACTTGCTATTCTATAACGAATAAAAACATCCTTGTAACTGTGTACTGTGCTAGATAGCTGGGATTAGTCACAGCTTTTCTATATTGTTGGCTTGATTGCTTAATTTGCTCTCCTCATTTGTAAATCACTTTGGTTAAAAGCATCAGCTCAATGATTAAATGTAATTTATTGCTATCCTTAAATATGGCCATGGGATACATCTTCCAATATAGCTGTGAAGTGTTTAAAAAAAGAAAAGCATATTGCATAAATTAGGGTTAAAAGAATTGTTGCCAAACAAATGACATGCCAGAAACATATTAACTGCTGCAATAATTATTAATAATTGATCGTGTAGGATTTGCGTGTTTAAATACAAACAGCAACATTTTTCTGACCATGCAGTGTTACACTTTTTGCATTTAACTTTATCTTGTGTACTAATCTAGTTTATGCTTGAAACAATGTGGCTCATCAAAAACTGCTAATGTCACTTTAGATAAAAGTGTCTGCTAAATGAATAAACATAAATAAAACAGAATATTTATTAAATCGATCACTATATGGCAAAGCTTCTCTTTTGTCTAATATAGAACCTAAAGAACAAATTCCAGATGATTTACATTACTATAGGAAAAGCTGCAATAAAATCTATTCACAAAAGCAATCCTCAGGTGAAAATCCAACATGAACCAAAGAAATTCATACCTGCTTTTCTCTGATTTATCAGTTTTATCTCTGCTTCTGTTATTAAATGTGCCCAGTTCCTTGTTCTGATTTTTTGAAGGAAGAACATAAGTCTCTGTATCCTTGATTCTCTCTCTCTCTCTCTCAACTTCTTCCTCTCCCAGAATTGAATGCTTCCTTCTGTTTCTCAGGGGAAGTGCTCTTTAAAGACCTTCTCCTCTTTGTGTCCATTCCCGTTTCTGTTCTGTCCCTCCTCTCTCACGGGACCACCCCGCAGCAGTTTTGTGAGGTATCTAAACAGTCCTCCTGCTTACAAACAGACTAAGCAAACTCAGAACACCTCAGGCTTGAAAGAAGCTTTATACACAAGGTTGTAATAGCAAATATAATATGCATTCTTACAAACATGGGTTACCTAAAACATTGGGAGATCAGTAAATCAAAGACATTTTGTGTGGCCCATTGTACAGGCTATGTTAATTTAATAAACATGGAGGGTGATTTTATATCAAGACAAGTGAGGGTTAGACCTTTATTTGCATTTCAGCATTGTACTTAGAGTTTGAAACAAACAATTTACGTTTATCAACCAACATATATACTCCTAATGCTCTAAAGTAACAATTTCTCTACAATTCTGTCCTGTTATTTCAGAGAATACATTCACACAAACTTGCTGTATTTTATATTGTTTGGCACAGAGAGTGGTAGACAGGTACATTTCCCAAATTACAAAGGAATTTGATTTGGTGGATTTCAGAAAAAAAACTATAAACATGCCATAATCAATGTGAAATAAAAACAGCAAATGAATGTGAAATGCAATTTTAAAATGTATGGCAACAATCTCATTATCAATCAGTCTCACATAACCTAAAATAGGCTATACATTCATGTGAACTGTTCACCTGCCTCTGTTTAACTAATACATTCATTGTGTTGGTTCTGTGAGCTCAGCTGCATGTCTGAGGGCCTGTTTGAACAGTTTGAAAAGTCTGAGTGTTGTTTAGACACTTTTGAAACTCAAGGATTCCCTACTGTGGGATTTGTGTGTTTTTGCATGTTGAGAGTCTCAATAAGAATGAAAAAAAACAAGTCTTTTGTCTTGAAGAAAATCTTTTCAGGTCAATAGGACAGCGGTTTATGAGGCAACACATTGACACACTGCAAATATTTAAAAATGCAATGGTGTTTTCTCAAACTAACTGTAAATACAAACTAAATGTAGAAATTCACGGTCTTCCTCTCTTGACCCTGATTGATCTCAGCTGTACAAACAGTAAGGGTCTATAAAGAAGGCATGAGGTCTATGTATGACATGAGTTAAACACACTCTGATCCAAAAGTGGTAGGTCAAACTATAAATTGTCATACTCCATCAAAACATGTTAGGAAAACAGGATAGACAAACAATAATTTAAGCATTATTTAAGAAATGGATTATTACTTGTTGGCCTAGATTTCCTTTTCATTTCTTGCAAACAAAATTGCAATTGAGCGCTTATTGCTATAGTAATAAAAATGCACTTTTTCTGAATGGCCAAAAAGCAGGGCATTTCATGATATATCTCCTTTTGTGTTCCAGGAAGAGGAAAGTTAATTTTAAATGTTAAATTTGCGGTATATATTGCCCAGGGGAAGGAGATAAATTATGAAAAGTAGGGGCCCCAGGACAGAGCCCTGGGGAACACCTGAAGTGACGATGGAGGGACTGGATTTGAAAGACTTAAATTGGATGAACTGAGTGCGCCCAGAAAGGTAAGATGTGAACCAGTCTAACGTAGTATGGGTGATGCCGATGGAAGATAACCTGTTGAGGAGGGTGGTGTGACAGATGGCATCAAAGGCTGCACTCAGGTTGAGAAGGATGAGGATGTTAAGGAGTTCAGAATCAGCTGTCATAAGGAGGTCTTTGGTGATTTTGATAAGTGCTGTTTCAGTGCTATGAAGTGGACGGAAACCGGACTGGAACTGTTCATACAGGCTATTGTGGGATAAATGAAAATGGAGTTGAGAGGCAACTTTTTTTTCAAGGATTTTGGAAATGAATGGTAAATTGGATATAGGATGAAAATTGTTGAAGTTGGAGGGATCAGCACCAATTAAAAAAAAAATGGGGTAATGACAGCCGTTTTGAATGATGTAGGGACAGTTCCAGTGGTGAGAGAGGAGTGGATGATAGAAATTAGGGAAACCAGGGAGGCAGGCTTAAACAAGTTGTGTGGGAAAGGGGTCAAGTTGACAAGTGGAAGGATTTTCTGATGAGTTCTGTGATTTCTGAAATAGCGGGGAGCTGGAAGAAAGAGAATGAATGTGTGGAAGGGTGAAAGTCGGCTTAGATGCTGCGGTGCGGGATAGATCCAATGTGCTGGTGGATGTTTTTTATTTTGTCAGGGAAAAATTGCATAATGGAGCTGCAGAAGGAGGTTGTAGCAGCAAAATTAACAGAAAAAAAACAATGTCTATTTTGAAACATTTATGACAAGAATTGTATTATTATTAGAATGGCAGTGCAATCTTTTTCAATGTGCAGTGCAATGATCATGTATGAATCAGGTGTGTTTAATTTAACCCTCCATTTCATTTAAAATACAAAAATAGCACATATTATGTCATGCTGTCAAAGCTCCATAGGGAGTTGATTTTAGACTAGAAAACATATCTATATAAATAAATAAATAAAAAATGTAAAAAATTTTGGTCAAAGATAAAAAAAAAATCTGTGCGTGATGCATAGCAAAGTCCTTATAGGGGATACTTATTTTCTGTGTAGTTCCACTATTGTTCAAAACTGGTATGGCAGTATATATAGCCTTTTTGTCTGTGTTGTAAGTTGATGTTTGTTAGTGTAATAAAAGATAGAGGGGCAAAGCTGACATTTTCCAGAAAGTATTGTGCTAGTAGCGCATCAAACAATGAGGTCATAAAATAATAAGTCATAGATTGGGGTGGTGATGGTGCAGTGGATAAGAAAAATTATTTAGGTATGAGAGACCTGGATTCGAATCCACTGTGAGACACCAATGTCTCCCTGAGCAAGACACCCTAGTTGCTCCAGAGGTGTGTGACCTCTGACATGTACAGTATAGCAATTTTTTTTTTTTTTTTTTTTTTTGTGTATCAAAAGGTTTTTTTTTGATAAAAAGCATCAGCTAAATGAATAAATGTAAAATGTAAATGTAGATTGTTGTAGAAGTCAGGCATTTGGGTACTATGCCAATTTGGAACATACTATGCCAGTTTGGGATCCACATTACAACCAGATGGTAGGAAAGGGTCATACACTACACTATATAGGCCTACTCTCAAAAACTGACAGAACAGGTCAAAATCGAGTTACATGTGAAAAGTGTGGGCTACACTTGTCTTGTTGATTTTCACTTGTAGTAGAATTATTGATTTGGAATTTCGAGAAAGAAAATATGCTTAAGATTATATGATGTATATTTATTGGAAAAGAAAAATTTGCACAATATTAGCAGTCTAGTACTTTCCATGAATCAGGAACACTGTAAAGTGTGTGTGTATGTGCGTGCGTGCTTTATACTGCAGACAAATTAGAAATAACAAGATGCACGTGGAATCATAAATATTTAACAGAATTCTCAAACTCAAAATTAGCGTAAAACCGCATGTTCCTTTTATTGGTCGCATAGTAAGTTTTGCTGGCTACAGTGGTAACAAGAAGCTAATCAGTACACTGAAAAGACTGCATGTCTACATCACACAATGTTTTTCAAGAGAATTTAAGTTTTAAAATAGACATTCGTAAAGAGGAAAAGCAGGTAGTATAAAGGGCGTTTATGCAAATGACAGTGATATGACACATTAACCCTTTGAAAATCTCAGCATCAGAATCCTCACAACCCACTCAGTTGTACCACTTTTCTGGATAAAAGGATTAGCCATGAAAGAGTACACGTACACAATGAGAGCGATGTTTAACACAATCAATTATAATCAGACAGTTTCCCTTTCACTGTTAAGTGCAAAATGAAGAAAAACATGACAAGCTTTAGCTCACAAGCTTTAGCATTGAGCACACACAGTTTTAACATACAGCTGAGATTTAAAGGGACACTCCACTTTTTTGGAAATAGGCTCATTTTACAACTCCCCCAGAGTTAAACAGCTGAGTTTAACCGTTTTCGAATGTATTCAGCCGATTTTCTGATATTTAGAAGAACCAGACAGTTTCTGGTCTCATTGACTTCCATAGTATATTTTTTTTCCTATGGAGGTCAATGAGACCAGAAACTGTCTGTTTACTGATATTCTTCTAAATATCAAAAAATCGTCTGAATGTAATCAAAAACGGTAAAAACCCAACTGTTTAACTCTGGGGGAGTTGTAAAATGAGCCTATTTCCAAAAAAAGTGGAGTATCCCTTTAAGCTGTGAATGCTTCTTTGACCACTTAATTCAAGATATAGAAGATCTCTGCATTCTCACTGCATGATACCATACCAGCTTTACAAGGAGCAATGCAGAAGCCCAAGTGTTTGTGCTGTTTTAGAGGACACCCCACCAGAAGAGAGCTAGTGAGAGCAGTATTCCCACCACAGAGTGGCTGGACACTGCCATTGGAGCTGCAGTGTTACACAGGTCAGAGGTACAACAGGAGTACTTGAAGCTGGAAAGTCTGGGAAATTTCTCAGCGATGTTGCTGCGCTCACATTCAGAGTACTTTATACACTGCCTGTATGTGTCGCCACCTTAAAAAAAACATGAAAATAGGGTCATGGGAATGGTTGTGCCATTTTGATATTTTGTTGAGATTACAGAAAAACTTTTTTTTAAAGAATGAGTGAGCTGACACCTCTTTCGTAGACGGACACGCAGGCATCATCATAGTAGCAGTCTCGTATTTTAGAGCATGAGCCCGAGTAGTCCTTACAATGGTAACATTTAATTGCAGAGCCTAAAGAGACACATGGACAGAGGAGAACTTTATTTTTTGCAAGAATAAAACTCCAACATTGGACAAAAACACACTGTGAAAAAAGAAGAAATGGCAATACATACCAAACCCCAGCAGAGCCAGAACGAACACCACACACACTCCAACAGAAGCTTTCATAATGCCTTCAGTTTACCAGTCTAATCATGGAAGAGAGAGAGAGAGGGAGAGAGAGATTGTCTGAATGTGATCCCATTGCATGTTCATCATAAATTTAGATTTTAAAAAAATCATCCTAAATTTTATTTATAAACTTGAGAGCCAACATGTCTCAAGCCCTCACATTCAGAATATGATTAAACCTTAAAGGGAATGAAGCTGCTCAAAAAGTGTTTAGATTTGTTACAAGTTCAGGTGATAAACACCCTGCCTGCAGTTGCTTCAGTAATGTGCTCAAAGATGCTTAATTTGAATGCCATTTACTCCCCAATTTTGTTCCAAACCATGACTTTCTTTTGTGTAACAAATTAAGATATTTTGAGAAATGGTGTTTTTTTTTTTTTTGTCCATACAATCACAGCCAATTAGTTTTTTGATCATTTTTGATATTTATAATATTCTAAGGAATATTATGGTTGTGGTAAATCCAGTTTTGGCCAATGTTTTAACTACTATTATTACTGCAACTACACCTATTATTGCTGTTGTTATTTTATATTTTAGCATTATACATTATTATAATATCCTGTTGGATTATTTGTTTTTTGAAATTAATTCAGCCTTGTATGAACATCCTAATATAATAATTAACAATGGATATAACAATTAACATAAATGGAATGTAACATATTTATGGCATTATACACTTAGTACGATGTAACATTTATGAAAAAAAAGAGAGAAAACTTTCAGTTAAAATTGCCCTTGATCCTGCTCTTAATGTACACTGTAAAAAATATTGTTGGTTTAACTTAAAAAATGAAGTAACCTGGTTGGCTTAAAATGTTGAGTTCATTGAAATGGAAAAATTGAGTTAATACAGTGAAGGAGATTGATTTAATCATCAGAAACTCAAAATATTATGTTACCTGAACTACATAAATTAAGTTGATTTGACAAAAGAAAAAATGTTGTGATTACAAATCATGAAAATATTTTTTTTTACAGTGACGTGTTTTATTTTTCAATTGTTAACTAACAATTTAATTTATTTTTGGATAGGGTTCACACCAAAATCCCAATTTAAAAAAAAAAATGCAAAATTTTCACTGACCCAATGACAGCTTGTCTCACTTTTATTAATTTTTGAATTGATTTTCTTTACAGAGTTTAGTAAATTTATATTGTATTAACATATCTCTTACACATTTAGTATAGTTGTATGAAACATAAACCAATAGGTTGTTTTAAATAAATAAAATGTCACACATTTGTCATACCTTAAAAAACGTGTCTATGGAAAAACTAAATACATAATTGCTTTTAGTTTTAGTATATCTAAATCAACCCGGGTTGCAAGCAAAGAATGTGCTTAAGCAGTTTGCTGTTATCTTGACCAGTTACTCTTCTGTAGTCTTACCTCAGTGTGAAGAAGCAATCCAACCACAGAGACATCCAAACCAGTCTGAAAACTGCAGAGCTTGAGCCCGATCACTCTTCTCTAAACACGCCCACAATGCTCTTCAAAGAGTCTTGTGTCCTTTTTTATTGCATACGGTCTTCAAAAAAAAAAAAAATCTACTCGGTTTTTCTGAATTAATGAGTTAATTTTTCATGAGAAAAAAAGTTTTTGCTCTGTTTTTCTGAATTAACGAGTTAATTTTTCATGGAAATTTTTTTTGCTCTGTTTTTCTGAATTAATGAGTTAATTTTTCCGTGAGAAAAAAGTTTTTGCTCTGTTTTTTCTGAATTAACTCGTTAATTCAGAAAAACAGAGCAAAATATTTTTTTTCTCATGAAAAATTAACTCATTAATTCAGAAAAACAGAGCAAAAAAAATTTCCATGAAAAATTAACTCGTTAATTCAGAAAAACAGAGCAAAAACTTTTTTTCTCATGAAAAATTAACTCATTAATTCAGAAAAACCGAGTAGATTTTTTTTTCTTCAAGTGAATGCAATACGCCTAAAGGTTAAAAAAAGGCTAAAAAAAGGTTAAACAAAGAGACATCAGTCTGATTACAACAAGGGCTCTTCAACATGTTGTCATGACAACTAACACAAAAAGGGAGGGTTTGGGTTAGGGTCAGTGAGAGAAATGACTCTACGTTTTGTGTTGTGAGAACAATAAGTGAAATTCAACTTAGACAATAGTACTGTGGCTGGCTTGAGAAGAATATTCTGATCAATGGTGTATTTGTATTTAGATAATAGAAAGTATCCTGATCACAAGGGCGAATGTTAACAAATAATGTGATAGTGAAACACGGTATTGATACACCATTACTTTTTTTATTTACACCAAATAAAAAAAAAACCTTATACAAAATAAAAAACAAGAGTTATTTACTAATCTGAGAGGTTGGATAGGGCTAACCAGAGAACATAATAGCAAACTGTTGGAAAATCCCACTGCACAGCATTATTTCACAAAGATGATAACGTAAAATTGCAGTCATAAACATGAAAATCAAAATCATACATATCTTTAGGCAAGATTAACTTACATCGCCATTATCAGGGAAGGGAGAAAAAAGCTGAGAAATTCTTTAGTCTGCCAATATTTCAGTCTGAAAAACTGAGCTGTAAATTACAACAAAGACATTTTTCTGATTATTTACCTCTTCCTCAGGATTTTAAGGGAAAGACCATAATAATGCCATAAAGTTATAAAATTCTCTTATCTTAAGAGAAGTCTGTGTAACCCCCAGCCCTTAAGATGATCTAAAACGAGTCTCCTTTACACCAATGTCCTCTAACTGACCTTCTGTTTACATGCAGCCGTACGTTTCTGAGAACAGGACATCAGCACCTCAGTCAGAACAGCTAACCAACACAGAGCACCGGAGAACGTAATGACTGCGCAGGTTGGCTGATGTTTGCGTGAACCGGCTGGTTTGGGTCTATGTGCTTTTTACTCATCTTTGAATAAATCACTTTCACTTTACAACTCACCCTGCCCCCGAAACCCTCTGTACAGACGACACAAGCAGAAACATATATACACAAGCACATACACGCTACACAATACCTGAGGCCTTGTGAAGGAAATTAATGGGATTGATTCCATTTTGCCTTTCTGTGAAGAATGCAATATATATTCCCAATTCAGTGTGTGTGTGTACTTTTATGCTAACAGTAGTGTCATACTTTCTACTCATGCTCTTAATGCAATTGTAAGGTCTTAAAAGGGATAGTTTAAAAACTATTACACAACCTCATGTCGTTCCAAACCTGTACACCTTAATTACTTTTGTGGAAAATGAAAGAAAATATTTTGAAGAACTGTTTTTATCCACAATAAAAGCGTCCAAAACAACACAGGACCCAATTGCCTTTCATTGCAAGGACAAAAAATATATATATTCTTTTGTGTTTGACAGGAGACAGAAAGACATACAGGTTTGAAACAACATACGGGTGAGTAAATGAACATTTTTGGCTTAACTATCCCTTTATGTTAAGTGGAAGGCAATGATCACTGTGAATCCTAGGCAAGAAGAACCAATCTCACACAAATTCAATAAACTCCCTCACTCCAACTCAATCACAAAACACACTTGCAGACTCAAACACGCATACAATGACCTCACACGTCCACAGGCGCGCACAGACACAACCACGCCACAACCAGACACATGCCCTCACAAACTGGAAAAAGAGGTGACAGGCACAAAGGCGATCACAATAAACAATGGATGCCTAAAAGCTCCGTTTGTCCCGCTCTCCTGTTTGTGCGAGAGTGTCTGTGCATCAGTATCTGTGGGCGGGTGTTGGCCGGGGGTCAGATGTGCCGAGGGCAGCGCCCTCCCGGGTCAGCCATGTTCATGCCACGCATGTCTCCCTCCTCGTAGTCATCGGTGTCTGATGAATTGCCATCCTCATAAGGAGCAGAGACCTCACTGACTGAGCTCTAAATGAGAGAGAAAGATGGCAAAGATCTAGATCTAAAATGGCAAAGATATTTATTTTTCTTGGATAAAACAGAAAGACATAAATAGCGTCTTACCGACCGCACCATTGACTCACGGAATGGTGGGCACACCATGTGGAATCGTGGGATCGATACGTCAAACACTTCCTCTTTGTTCTTGAGCCGGTGGAATGTGTAGTGGCCTTCCATGTACTCGGAAGTGGTGGAAAACGTGGTACAGCTGGCGTACTCGTGAACTTTACCGGGTGTCATCACTGGAAACTCGCCTGCACGTACATCACACGCAAAAAAACAAGAGATGCAGGACATTCTTTCAAAAGTAGTGCAAATGTCACACTATGAATTGTATGCTCAGAAAGATGCTGTCAGAATGTGATAATTCAACATCTGTTACCAGTGCCAACTGTTCTAGTTTGCTAGTTACAGGGACGGGCTCTTACCCACGACGCCAGGGCCTCGGACCTCTTCCACATTGCCGTTTGCATTCGTGATCTTCCAGTACCGACTGTCTAGCTGGCATGCATTCTCTGGCAGGGCCGACTTTGCCATCTCAATCCTGTTGCATGGCACAGCTCAGAGGTCATAAGTTCAGCTCATTGTATCACCCTATATGTCAAGTCTTAGTACAGCTGCGTTGCATTACAGCAAGTTACAGCAGAAGGCAGCTTGATCATTTCAGCAACTTAATCTTTATTTACAAATTCCACACTGACATCTCTATGTTTTGGTTAGACAGCAGCACTGGGAGAAGAAATAGATGAGGCGTAGCAGTAGTGTGCAATATGAATTGTCTATGATAATAACATACTTAGCATTTAAACAAAACGAAAGTTGCCATATGTCACTCGCTTTACAAAATCCAAACGAAAACTTGCTTTGAGACTGAAAGTGATTTCTGATTATGTGATATTTAATGCGAGTAGAATGCTGCCTAAGTGTAAGATATGCAGGGCCATTTCCCTGCAAGAGTTTTTGTCTTAAAAGACCAACTTAATTGTATTTCTTAAAAAAAAAAAAAAATGGCTGTAACACTCCAAAAAAATTGGGACAGACATGTTTACCACGGTGTCACATAACATTTCTTTTGAATTACACTTTTTAATGTTTTGGGAATTGAGGGAACCAATGTGTTTTGCAGTTTTGAACGTGGATTTTTTGCCCAATCTCACCCACTCAACAGTTCACGGTCATTGTTGTCTGATTCTCCTTTTCATGATGGGCCATACATTTGACAGATCTGGACTGCAGACAGGTCAGTCAAGCACATCCACTCTATGGTGTAGAGTGTCTACAAAACCACTCTGTTGCAGCACATACAGAATGAAGCCTGGCATTGTCTTGCTTCCCAGGAAAGTCATCTTGATGCCATTAATGTCTCAATTAAATGTACATTCCCAATATACGCCTCCACGTCACTGGTTCCTTCACACAAATGCAAGTCACTCATGCTATGCACACTGATGCACCCCCATACCATGACATGTTTGCTTTTGCACCTGTCGATGATGAAAGTCTGGATGATCCCTTTCGTCGTTGGACTTGGGACTGAGAACTCAATGTCCGTCGTTTCCAAAAAACAAGCTGAAAGTGGACTCTGATATGAGCTTGGGCCAAAAGAAATTGGTGGCATCTCATAGAACTGATGTATAGCTTTCTCATTGTGTAAAAGAGATTCAAGTGGCATTCCCTGATGAAGTAGCAGACAATGGTTTTTCTAAAGTACTCCTGAGCACAAGTGGCTGCATTTAACACAGTAGCATGATGGTTTCTCATGCAGTGCCATCTGAGGGCTTGAAGGTCATGCACATTCAACAGAGGTTTTCTGCCTTGCCCAACATGTACAACGATTTTTCTGGATTCCCTGAATCATTATGTGTGGCTGTTTCAAAAGAGTTGAACTTTTTAATAATCTTTTCACTTTTATTTTGCCTCTGTCACAACTTTTTTGTAGTGTGTTGCAGCCATTAAAATCAGAATGTGTTTTTATTTACAAAAATACAATTAAGTTGTTCACTGAACACATTGGAAATCTTTTCTTTGTCCTTTGTTCAGTTAAATAAAGTTGAAAGAAAATTGACAAAATTTCTGATTCTTGATTTTATTGCATTTTTCAAAATGCCTTAACTTTTCTTGATTTGGGATTGTACACCAAATGTACTTATATTTATCTTATATTTATTCCTGAATATCATCATGATTGCAAATGTCATATTGACTTAAAAAAAAACAGTTAAATAAACCCTAAGTTAATATTGTGAGTTACATTTTAGTAATTTTACTGCCGTTTAACGCCGTTTGAATAAACCTGACACCTGTCTACATCGGACAAGAATGTTAAGTCACATCAAAAGTAAATATAATCCATTCTAATCACTGATGCTGTCTACACTGAATACAGTGTACAGATGCACTGTTTATTTCTTGGTGCGCTCAAGTCTGTTGACATCAAGACAAATTAACATTCACTTTGAAGCATCCTGTTTAAACAGCTTGTTTGTGTCTCTGTACAGACTTCAGAAGAACAATCTAGATTTTATGTTTGTTCAGAGCATTTGACCTAAATTGTTTTGTTTGTTTGTTTGTTTTTAACGCCATGCCAGCTTCTAGGGCTATTTTCATGGTGAGATAACTTGATGGTAAATCTATATCAGGTGTTTACAATTTATTCAAAAGAAGTTCTTCTAAATTCTAAATTCTAAAAAAGTTATTTCACAGGGTTAAAACCAGCACAATCTAATAAAGCATCCTTCAATGGTAACAAGTTTTGACAGAAAGAACATGTTGGTAGATCTTCTCCTAGTATTAAAAATTCATCCTAGAATTGCCTATTTTGCAACGGATATAAACAATCTGATCCCATTGGACTGAGATTTGATAGAAACTTCTTCCAACATTGGGGCTGATTTCATGAAGTTTGTCATATAAATATATCGTATATAAATCACATTCTGTTTGCCATTTGTTATTAATATAGAAATGACCCAACAAAACCAGATATTAAATTGATGACCCTCTACTTAAAGCAGTTTATAAAAAAAAATCATTACCAGAGCAGGGTGATCATTTTTAAGGGATGACATTGCTTGGGGACATGACTTAAAATCTGTAATTATTTCTGTTTCATTGTCTATATGTAGTCCAATGGCAAAATGATAGCATTTGCTTTTGCTGTAAAAATTCCACTATGTTTAGAGAATGATTAATTGTTCTGTAAGAGTCACAGTTTATTGATGAAATTCTGAAAAGTATATTCTATATACATTCTGTGTATATATTTGTTTAGTTTTTGTACGATTTTTTTAATCAACATAAACCCAAATAGCCTAATTTAGATGACCAAAGCCAAATTAACATGTGTGTGCATTTATGTAGTACCTGATTCTGTAGGTGAAGAAAAAGTGTGGCGGATGGACTGAACTGAGCTCTGGCAGGAAGGAGGTAGAGACTGATATGGTGATGTCACCAGTGGTTGCCACACAGCGTTTGTCATGAACATATCTAAACAAACATAAAGCGGGTAAAATGTAAAGAGGCATTATAATAGTCTTTTGTGATTTCTTTACTTAGTGTAAGATAACAAAAGGTGGACCACCTGAAGATCTGGTCTCGAATGATGGGGAATTCTCCTGTTACAACATTGTCAACATAGGAGGTAAACCACTCAGTAAAATCAGAACCTGATAAAAAGAACAGATGAGAGAGTGAAGAGTTAATTTAATCTGAACCGGTCCATAAAACGGCAATGCATTAATGCAGCCTTTTGTTCTCTGTTACCTGTAATGAACATGTCAATCGCAGAGGGATCTTGTGCCAATTGATCCTGTGAAGAAAAGGTGTAAAACAGAATGAGCAAGAAGGGCTGCATTAGACAAGACGACAAGAGCACCCCTCACTGGTCAAAGTGCAACGATGCAAGAAAAGTTCCTCTCTTATCTAGCGGAGACCTCCACATGCACAAGCAGAATCATATCTGAAGTGGTGAACTGCTTCAGCTCCTATCAGTCACAAGTCACGAAGCATTTGGGAGGCTCTTAACATTTACCATCTGGTCTTTAACTACTATATAACCACTGGCTGCCTCCTTAAAAGATTATCTGCATCACAGTTGCGCTTTCAGAATGGTTCACTAGCCTTGCATATGTGTGTGTTTATGCATGGTAGTTGTGGTCTGAGGGTAGTGATCTAACCGGGCACTGATAGAAGATCTCACTGCGTGTTCGTCCCTCTGTGCTCTCCAGGGCCATGTACTGGCTAAGGCCGGTGTGAAAGCAAAACGTGAGTGGAAGACACTGCCGCATCCCCTTCCTCTGCTGAAATCCCCCTGCCGCTGTCTCAATGTCCAACAGGTCTTCTGAGCGGTAGTGATTGGACAAAGCCATGCTGCCCATCAGCCTGTGGAGAGGAGTAAAAGAGGAAGAGAAGTTTGTCTGCTTGTGTGTATAAATGCTTTTCAAATAATTTATGAGCATTTAAATACATTCGAATTATCTTTTATTTTATTATCAAGGATATTCTCAGAAGTCTTACCCAGGGACCACCAGTTTTTGTCCATTGTGTATCCTATAGGAGCAACGGTAGTCATTAGGGAGTTTGCAGCCAATCTGGGCCTCAATGACCTCTAGCTCTTCCTCCTTTACTCCCTCTTCTCAGAAAAAGGAAAACAAAATCAACACCCATAGTTATTCAAAATATGATTGAATTAGTAACAGCGTGGACAGACCTTTAAGTGAAGCTATCATTCGAGGACATTTCTGATTCAGGTAGTTTTTCAGGCAATCCCAAGCTTTCTTAAGAGTGCTGTAATAGTCAATGTAACGGCCCAGATCAGCATAATACTCCCGAAACAGCTCCTTCCAGGAGAGGCCTCTGTGGTTTTTGTCTTCCCTGAAAAAGTAAACACCATTTTTAATTACAAAAAATCTGTAAAAAATGCAACAAAAAGATGAAAAAAATGCATGTCTTAAATTAGTCAAATTATTCTGAGGGCATTTTGAGTCCGCTTACTCAGTAAGGAGCCAGTGCTTCTGACAAAGTCTCTTCCATAGGGGGTTATGACCCGTCAGCTCACTGAGTCGACGACTTACAAAACTGCAGCTGAGAACAAAACACAACAGATTCAGTACAACAGGAATATTCAACTACTTGAGATCTAGAAAAAATGTAAACATATTCAGTTCAGACTATGCTTCATCTATTGTCTTTTGCTGTTTTTTAAATTATTTTTCCATTTAATTTTTTTTTATTAACAGCTGTAAAGTTATATGAACAAACACAAAACATAAAACAGCCAAAGACACACAGAAAAAAAAAACATCTAGATTGCCACAAATATCCAAATAGCCAAAATAGCCAGGTTGAATGTTCATTCTGTATACGCTTGAAATCAATTCAAAAATCTTAGATCAGAAATAATATAAATTAGGGCAAAACCAAAATAAATGTGCCAAAATTATATCTTCCTATTTTGCCGATAGATTTACACAAAAGTAAAGTTGGAAGAGAGGACACTGACATAGTCTCCGCATGAACCCAAAAACCCAGAAAGCATGTTGTCTAAGAAGCCCCTTTGCCAAAAGGTGAGCTCTAGCATTTGCTGCCCTTAAAAATAGGAAGGCCGAGGCCACCACAAAGAGTAAAGAAGGTGCTGTGCCGTCTATATTGGATCTAACAGTAATTGTGCAACACACGGACTCTGGGTTGAACATGTATGGGCGAATCATTCCGGTTGCCATTTTACAACATTGGATGTTTTCAAAAAAATTTCCCCCAAGTGCATCGACAGGTGAGTTGAAACTTATTATAAAATGCAAAAGTTAACTGTTATCCACTCACAGCAGTGGGCCTTTACTTCCAAGTCAAAAAGTGCAAGACGCACATAAAAAACCAAGCGTTTTTCAGCTAGGCTCAAAAATAGGGTACAAAATAGCCTATTACTTATTCATTTTGATGTTTTTTAATGCAAAAACCAAGCGAACATAAGTTGACCTCAGACAACAATATAATAAATTTTTAAAAGCCAGTTCATGACCCCTTTAAAGTATCTACCAAATGAATAAATGTAAATGTTATGATGTATCTTTTCAAACAAGTGATGATTGAGTAGCCTATTATTCTTATTATTACCATTACCACCACTGTAACAGAAAAATTCCTGAAAAACTGAATAATCACCCCTAGAGGACGCAAACTTAAAATAATATAAAGCTATGGTGGATTACTCAGTTACTCAGAACAGTGTTAAAAGGCGCACGTAAAGTGTCTGTCTTTACAGTAGCTTCTATAAACAGTGAGGAGAACTTTTAGTTGCACAGGCGGCGTTACGAAACTTCCAGCTGACCAGCGTCACGTGATCCTCCCTGCTTATTTCCCAGAAGAAAATATTTATCAACAAGCACAACTCAACTTACGATCCACAAAACACGAACAGCTACTAACAGCGAGCGATTGCAGCAGAAATGATGCGTTTGTGTTGCCTGTTGCACTACACTCACTGTCAACTTACATGAAGTCAGGCAACGTTATCTTCAAATATAGCTAAGATGCATGAGATGATCGGGTGTAACAGCTCACACAGATTAGTGTCTTTTTATGATGATTGAAAGCGGACATTATCGTGGTAAAATCGTGACTGTCTATCAAAAGAACTTGCTTAAGTATTATCATAAGCTATCCTGTTAGCATTGCCAGCTAACTGTGGAGCGGATATTATTTTTCAAGCTCATTCAAAGAACAAACATGCCTAAAACATATTTGCAATTGCATGGACTAACGGCACGGTTCAAGATAAATGTCTACCTGATCAGATCTCGGAAGTCCAGAAATGACAGAACCAGTAATAAGGGATCTGACGGTAAGTTATCCAGGCTGAGCGCTATGGACGTTGCCATCTTGGTAGCGAATGCAGACTCGAAGCCCCGCCCCCTTCACTGCGATGACAAGAAGGCGTGTCCGCACGCTGGTCTGTTATCAAATATTGCGCACATGTCACCACACCGTTAACCAAGTGAAAATGTATGTTCTATGAAGGTAGGTTATTTAAATATTCAGTTTTCGATTTCTCTACGATTCCGATTTCTTAAGTTTTATTTCCTTTTTATTCTTTTGTAAAAATATATATATAGGCCTATTTGAAGCAAAAAATGCAATTCAGATCAACAGCTATATAAAAACAGATGTTTTTACAGATTTGCCCTTTTGTCGTCATAAATGCACTTATTTGGCCCTAAAAAATAGGTCTAGGCTACTAATAGCCTACAAAACATATTAATCAGTCTTATTTATAATAGGGCGATTTCAACCAATCTAATCATCTGTAGATTATATTTAAAGAATACAGTGTCATAAGAAAAACAGTTAACACTTTAATTTAGAGCTCAACATAATGAAAGCAATAAACTGCTGAGAATTCCTTTACAGCTCTGACTGATTTATTTAAGTCATTCCAAGAATCGGCTCAGGGAACATGACTACACTGGATGTGCAATAGCTGCATTCTGCTGAATAGGTTAATGTGTGAAACATTACCAGAGTAGCATTTAACCTAAGAGTCGAAAATTATCAGGGAAAAAAAAATCATTCATGTCACTTCTTATATCATCTGAAAACAAGTCTAAAACACATCTAAATGATTTTATGAGATATTTGATGTCTTTGATTTTTTTTTATTTGTTGTATCTCAAAGAATACATTTCCCTAAACAACATCAATATTTGTATAATTTATTTGATGCAAAAAAGAATAATAGGCTATGCAAAATACGCTGCATGTGTGACATGTCTAGTCACATCACTCAATGTCAGTACTGTGAATAATCATCTTTCTTACCCTAATGTCCCCAAATGCTACAGTGCAAGGCCTATTTTCCCCTTTAAAAAAAAAAAGTAAGATTAATACATCCCTCCAAAATGGACGTGTTGGCTTTAGGTCAAACTGACAAAACAACAAGCACAGAAAATGTGAAAAAGTCATGTGACTCACATACAGTCACTCCAAACAGATTTAACTTTGATAATAATAAAAAAAAAAAAAAGAAAAATGATTTATCATGCCTCCGGCTCCTACAAGAGATGAAATAGGCCTACTGTGGATTCATGCGGTGCACGTAGCCTGTTCCGTCTGCCTATCGCACATTCGACAAGCGTTAACGAAACGTCGAGAAAATCATTAAGTTCTCGCATTTTAACGCCACCGCTTCTTAAAAAGGAGTAATACATACATTTTTAGAATAACATATGTGGCATTTGATGATTGTGTATATATCTATTCTGTATTTGCATTATAGGTTGCAGTGAGACGTTTGTCACCTCAAGATGGCGTCACAGTTCCATTTTCTCTCTGGCGAACTCAAGGTCAAAGCGATCAAACATTGCAGCTTCATGCATTTTTTCGATTACAGACAGCTCCATCTTTAGGCAAGCGTGGAAAAGTCTTACAAATAATCTCAAAAGCAGTAGTAAGAGTGGCCTCATGAAATTATATTAATGTTCAATCAGTATGTCATGCTTTCAATTTATTATTTGCAGGCATAAGCCTAACTGACACACTGTAAGAGAATGTCTTTCTCCTCATCTTTCTTTTTTCAGTGATGTTTCACAATGACAAATACCTATAGGCATCTGTCCAAAGTATTTGTCCTAAAGCATCAGATAAGGCTTTTTTCTGTTATTATAAGTCACAACATATAAGTGTAGAACAAACCATTGTGTCAATAAGCACACATATCTTCACACAAGAGAGTAAAGTATATTCCCAAAACTTGTGTGCATGCAGCTCCTGAGGTGGTACCTAGCAGCATCACAAAAAAATGTATTGCCTACATGCCCTAGATGTCAAATATTACAATTAAATAAGCAGTCAATGCCAACGTCAAGGGTTCGATTCCCTGGGAATGCATGAACTGATAAAAAGGCAATAGGTACAGGTTGATTATTAAGGCACCTGCCAAATGCATAAAAAAAACAGCCTGTCTTATACATAACAACACTCCCACGCTTCATTCCCTGATTAATTTTAAGAATCTATCTATATTGAGTGTGAATATGAAGCTCTGCTACAGCACACCCAGTGTGTGAAGGTGAGTTCATGCAGCTCTGACGTAAAGGCTGACGTGAAGCCACTTTGGTGATGAAGGGGGTGGGCTGCAGTGACAGACTTCTTCTTATTAGGAAAGGGGTTGCCAGACATCTAAGCCCCTCCCCTTTGATTACCTCCCTTCTGTCTATGTCTGCCTCTCTCTCCCTTTTGCTCCTTCTGCCTGGCTGAGTTGGTTTCAGACAGTGCATCACACGTGCCACCCTAGGTCTCTCTCCACTCTCCTCCTCTCTTCTCTCTCTCTCTCTCTCTCAACATGGAGGCACATCACTGAAGAGTGGATTGTTCCTCCTGTTTTCTCCTCTTCTCTCCTCTGCACTTCATTCGGTGTGTTTGGGTGTCTGTTTCTGAGTGGGAATGCTCGTGTCTGCGACAGCGCTGTTGGGGGCTACGCTGGGTACCGTGTCTGGAGTGTTGACACTGTGTGGTCTCTCCCTGCTTTGTAAAAGCTGTAAGAAGGGGAAACTTGAGAAAGGGGACGAGACTGATCCAGAGAAAGCCAAACCCAGTATCCTGCATACTCTGACACAGGTAAGACTGACACTCACTCACACACACAGCCATGCACCAGCTATCAGATTTGACATTTAAATACACACAAAAGAAAGAGCTTAAAAAAAAACTAAAAAAAAAAACTAACAGAGATGAGAGATATTCAACGAGTGAAATGTTCTGACTCACCTGGTGGAAGGATTGAAGTGGCGCTTACATAACACAGGTTAGCTCTCCGAGGCAGAAACAGTGATACTAAAAGGATTTATTTGCATGTATCTAAATAACTCTTTACTGGATGTTTTTATGGAATGAATTACAGGGAACATTATTATGCAAATATTCTACATTCTATATAAATGTAATGGCCATTGTATCATAGCACCTTCTTTACTGGTGCATGGTAGGATCAGAAAAACTTGGGTGAGATGATTTTTGGATGGTGCTTTAATTACAGTTTCAGACATTTTCATTGACATGAATGATTTTCTTTGTGATATTGATCATATAATTTTTTTCATGATATATATGAAAAAAAAAAATATTGTATATTATATATATATTGTAAATAAAGTTTGATACTTTCCAAAGGAGCAAAAGAAGTTTCTTTAAGATGCAAAGAGATAGAGAGAAACCAGAAAGAGACATTACAAAAAGAGCCAAGTGTCTCTTTTTACAGCCTTACTATGTGTTCATAGAACATAGAATATCATTTCTATCTCTTTGAGGCAGAAATATTAACATAAGCAGAGCTGCAAATCAAAAGAGAAGGATGAAAATCAGCCATCTAAATCAGAATGGCTATCCCATAGAACTGATTGTGTCAAAGAACATTAAATTCATCCAGTAACAGCAGGTTAAGGACTGGTGAGGGACAAGCAGGTTATTATTAGAATCTTCTATCTCCAGAGTGCTTTTATAAGAGGCAATTAGTTTAGAAATTATTTGTACTGTCATTCATATACAAAAACACAGACAGAGATGCTCGTGTACATCACACGCTGGTGTTGTTCGGCATCTAAGCTTTCCCTGAAACAGTCTAGAGTCACGACTCACATAGCTTCACATACTCACATTATTGTTCTTCTGTCATGCTGGGGGCTTTCCATTGACTTGAATTAGATTTATCTTGAGCTAATGATATTTCCTATCTCCCTTACTGAAATATTATATACTGCATTTTTAGATTTAACAAATGATGGTGTCTTTCTGGGGATCACTGGTTGGTGCACAGTGCACACATTGTCATTTCAAATCTTACTATTTTGGGGACATTTGGTCATCACATTTGGTCATTTTACAAAAAAAGGGGAAAAAAAAGAAAATATCATTTGTGTGATTTATAAGCTGTTTTATTCATGGGGACTAAAAATATCACATTACCTGAAAACTGTATACCTGAACCACACACACACACACTCACTTCCTGTCTGTGTTTATTTACATTAATGAATCATCACAGTGTTACATACCAAAAATAAATAATAATAATTCATAATATTCATATAAGCCAGAACGTGTGAATTAAATAAATGTCAAATAACAAAATATTCAAAAAGGGCCACACTGTCACATTCAAGAAAATGATGAACAGAAGAAGGGATTTTCTGGAGTCTTTAAATCCAAATAAATAACACAGGATAGCGTAACCGCTCATACACAAACAATACAAGACAGTACCGGACAAAGAACCAAGGGGACTAAATGCAGGTGAAACTAATCAGTAACTATGGAAACAAACTCCTGGTAAGTCCATTTTAAAACAAGTATATGTGGCAAAAAAAAAAAATATATTTCTGAAGTTCAATCTTCTCTAACAACATTGTGGACACAACACAACAGGACAACTTTACACCCATATCAAACCACTAATTGTCACGGGGTGGGTGCAGGCAGAAGACCAGGCAGAGTCCAGAAGTCCCAATACAATGATTTAATCATAAATAAACTGGATACAAGCAGGCGGAACACAGGGTAACATTAACATTGACCGACAAAGACAGAGTAAAACTGAGAGAACTAAATACACAGAAGAATCAAACATAATGGGGTGAAAACAGGTGAAACAGATGAACAGGACGCTGAACGGGAGGCTGATGAGGGAGTGAGTTCAGGTGTGCAGACGAGAGGATCATGGGAAGTGAAGTGCTGAAGACAAGACAGACTGGTGCAGACGGAGGACTGTGACACTAATAGAACAGTGGCACAAATCCCTTTCGCTATTTGATTCTGTGACATTTAAACAGTAAATTCAGTTTTTATGACTGGATTCTGCTAAATCATAGGGCCCTATAATCATTATCTCAGTTTAAGAAAGAGATAATGATCTTTGTGAGTGTAGATTTCCATCTTAAGTCTTTGAACCTCTTTTATATGCCCAATTAATATAAGCTGGGGCAGACAAGAGCATCAGTGGCAAATGCATGAGCAGCATAAACTGACCTTATAGCTCATTTGGGGATTTTGTCTAAAAGACCACCACAATGAAGATAGAATTCAAGTATCTAAAGCATCATATGACTGTGTGTGTGCGTGTATACCAGTATATATTTAGGATTAAGGTCAGTTTCATATCGAATTGTAAAATAGGCGAGCACAGTCTCATTGCACCATTATTTATTATTAATGAAGAGGGGGCGGGGGAAGATGAGAGGAATATAAGAATATCCTCTCTCTCTCTCATTTCTCTGTGCACTGTTTTCAGTTAACTGCCCACCTGAGGGAAATAGAGTGTTCTGGTGTTCATTCATTTTTCATTCATGCATGTTTTTCAGACTCAACACATTGAAACCAGCCAGCAGAAAGCCCCTTAGAGAAATGCCCCTGTCTCATATCTATGACATTGTAAGGTGGTTCAAATCAAGTACTATAATATAAGGTTTAAGAATGATTGGAATTAATTTTTTGTTATCTCTGGGAATTTTTTTTTGTTTTGATTGGGTCAGTCCAATCTTTTGGTTAAGATCAAGTATTACTGGAATGGTATTACTTGGCATGATCATTTATATCCCATTATGGGATATGATGAAATTTCTGAGCAGGTTGAATACCTAATGATTTGAGTTCTGTTGGCCTAATCAACAATAGTCATACAAAATCATACTATTTCCCTGTAGCTCATCATTTTTTTTTTCTCTTTTCTTTGTGTACATGATTTAGTTCAGTGTGCAGAAGTGCACCGAACCCATCCAGCCTCAAGCATCCTTGAAGTTCCCTAAAATCTACCGGCCCAAATCTTCTGTCACTTCTCAAGAGGTAATACACTACAAAGAACATGGAAGTGCCAATGACATGTCTGCTGCCGAGCTCGACACCTGTAACCAGGCAACAGAACGTGAGGCCTTCTCCCTCCCGTGGCAAGGTAAGCAGATGACAGCTAAAATCTCGCTGGTGGAGGCTTTGTGTGTGTGAGAGCGAGAGAGAGAGTGTGTGTGTGTGTGTGTGTGTGAGAGAGAGAGAGAAAGAGAGAGAGAGAGAGAGAGAGAGAGAGAGAGAGAGAGAGATTGGTTTCTCTGTGCATTCTAGAATTTCTAGTCCTCAGCCAGTGTGAGAACCCTAATCAGTCAGTCTGAAATCAGTAAATCTGAGGTTGATTTTGTTGATATGGAGCTGAAATTTTTTAATTTTGAACTATTAGTCATTTCACCCCTTAATGGATTAGACGCTAACTGAAATTTCGGCCATTATGCTGTTAAAATCGGTACAGATTTTGCCTGGAGGCTATCGTTATACTTTTATACGCGTACATTGGTCTGACTCATAGTGCACAGCATCTATCATGATAATAAAGATTACATTATGATTCATGGTCAAGGCCCTTATGAGAAAGACTTAATTTGATCCACCCGCTAGCAGATGCAGAGATAAGATAAGAAAGAGCTAAAGAAAAGTGAGTGCTATCTATCTCAAAGAATTTAACTACATGTTTATTGTTGTTTTGAATGCCATGTGCCTTTTATGGATTTCTTTCATTTTTGGTCACACTTTTCCCATTTACATTGTCTAGTTTTGATCTACTGATGAAAAACAGTTCCAGACATGTCTTCGAGCATCTAAAAAATGAATCATAAACGAATCGATGATATTAATTGAATCAGATGAGTAAATGATTACTCTCTTTAGAAAAGCACTAACTTGTAAATAACTACTAGCTTATCAATGTAAAGAGACACAGAAAAATCCCCACCCATAATGGATACAAAAAGATACAAAACTAACTATAGTCTATCATGTTGTTCTGGTCTTAGGAATACAACGGATTTTAGTAAGAAACCTTTTTCTTAAATAGTCTTAATTTACTCAGAACTTTGTTCATTGTTACTGAAACTATACACTCCCAATTTTTTCCTTTACATCAGCTTCCGCAGATGAAACACCCTGCGCATCTGAGCAAACCGGTGCCATGACGACAAGTAGCTCCATCCTATATCCTAAACTGCACTTCTCCATTAGTCTGCACAAAAAGAGTGGAGAGCTACACATCAGCATTGTAGAAGGTAACAAACATGCATCTACTCTACCGTTTCTAGAAAGATAGAGGTGAACCTCAGGATATTGTGTAGCATCCTTTTGGTGATAATTTATGATAACTTTGATCGTATGATAACTTTTGTTGCCATATGATATCTTTGCGTGAAGAACAAATTAGTGTTGCTATTGACAACAACTATTAAAAAGGATTATTAAGTGAAATATAGCTGAAATAAAATAAAATAAACATATTAGATGAAAAACTTAAAAAATAAAAAATAACTTAAAAATAAAGTTTTTGTAGTTGAAGTACTAAAATGACTGAAACTAAAACTCAAATACACAACATGAGCAGAGATCTGTGAAAAGCAGGTTTTGGTGTTGTAATGGTCCTCTTATGGCTCAGTCTCATCCCAAGACGTCATATAACTGACGTCTTGGGACGTCTTGTGACCATACGTCAACATCCGCCTTTTTAGGGTACCCTTAAACGTCGGTTAGATGACGTTATCGGATCCTAACCCTACCCCAGACCTAAACCTAAGCATTAACCTAAACTTACCCCGTCACCTAACCGACGTTAAAGGTAAAGCATCAGTTGTATGACGGCCCGGGATCGTCATGTAACCGACGATTAAGTGTACCCTAAAAAGGCGGATGTTGACGTATGGTCAAAAGACGTCCCAAGACGTCAGTTATATGACTTCTTGGGATGAGACTGTGTTACTCAGACAGATGTGTTGTGTTTTTAGTGTCACTGTACAGCTTTTTTGGTCTGCTTTTGAGGCTGGACCACAGGGAGGATTTGAAACTCAAATTCAAAACTCTCTGTGATTAAACCAATGTTTGAGAGAAATAAAAGCCTCTTTCAGGCAGCTTAAAGCCTCTTAATCACATAATTACCATTTCAATAGTTGCAGCCATGATTGATATGCATCATTATCTGTAATGAGAGTAAATCTGCTTTAAACTCAAAACCTCTATTCTGAACATCCAAAGAGGAAAGAGAGATAATGAGTCATGCTGGCTGAGATGTAGAAAGGAATGAAAAGTGAGGAGGTATGAAAAAGAGATATGCTTGGTGCTGCTGAGGTTTGGAGCAGCTTCACATGGCTCAATTTGTCATCCTGTTCCTTGTTATAATATGACTCATATTCCCCTTTTTTCCGCAGCGGAGAACATATCAGTGGATGCAGGATGTGAGGGATATATATCAGGTTGTGTGAGTGTCTCTGAAGAGCAGAAGCATGCGCAGACAGCAGTCCACAAGCTAGCAGCCCATGTGCAGTGGGAAGAGGAGCTGGTGTTTGCCCTTCCCGTGGAGGGCACAGAAGACACGGATGCCCTAGATGGAGAAGTGGCCCTCTCCCTTCACTGCTGTGATCGATTTTCCCATAATTCTACTCTGGGCACGATGCGCTTTAAATTGGCTGACGTAAGCATGATGTTGGACGCTGACTGCTGGGTTGACTTACAGCCACCCAAACAGGTGAGGAATATTGCTCACAAATGTCCACAAGTGAAATATTTATGAGGACCTATTAGGCTTCTATTATGTTTTTTTTTTTTTTTTACCTTTTCAACTATGTGTAATGTTGCAGTTTGAGCATGAAAAAGGTCTGCAAAGTAACAAATAACAAAGCCCACCCCAAATGGATTGATTATTCCCTAAAACCTCAATTGTAGTTTTCTTCCAGGAATTTACGTCACAATATTCCTCATCAAGCCTGATTTTGCATTAATAGCGTGTTGAAACTCACAGTTATGGTAAGGGCTGAGGCACTTCCAAAACATGCAAGAAGTAGTTGACCAATCAGAGCACATTGAGCTTTTCGGAATAAGGGGTTTCAAAGAGACTGCGACCGCAATTAAATTGCATATTTCCCTACTATATAGTAGGCGGAAAACGTCTACTAATGTAACCTGTGACTTTGTGAGAGCAGTTTGCCAAAAGGCCATGCGGCAGCTTGCCAGCATCTACGCCATAGCCACAGAACTGTGTTACGAGTGTTGGAGACATAGATGCTGGCAAGCTGCCGCGTTCCCTTTTGGCAAACTACTCTCACAAGTACTGGGCCTGTGGTCAAACGCCTTTTTGACGAATTTGATTCAGATTTCATCGAGTGGGTTAGAGACAAGTATCTGAAGAGCAAGTAGGCGCTCATCTCACCCTGTTAGAGAGAGTGGTGCTGCAAGCCAAACACGAGCCAGTCTTCCAGAACATTACCTGTTTGTACCCAATACATGAGAGGAGATTGGCTCCACCCGGATATTGTAGAATCTCGCAAATGTGTTAGGTGTCTCCCAGCTCGCAGCTTTGCAGATGTCTGCCAGAGAGGCACTGTGCACCACAACGCCCAAGAGGAAGCAACACCCCGAGTGGACTGGTACGCCATAAGTGATGATGGCATTTTGAAATTAGGCTTCATGACACAGTCAATACAAACTTTGTCAGCTGATTATTATCACAAAATAAATCTCATAAGTCATTCTTTAACTAGAGCAGCAAATTTGTAATATAGTAACATGTCAAATGTAAGTATATCAGTAAAATTGAAGCTTAAGGAGATTTTGATAAATTTAATTAATTTTAATTAAACACAAGTGGTTAGGTTTATAAGCACTGTACTATGTAACTATGTAAACTATATGTCTGTGCTGTGGCCTGTGCCACTATTTCCACCAAGAGAGGCACAGACAAATTAGTACAAATCCAGCCTTTTGTAAAATGGAGTTTGCCATCATGATAGTTTGAAAAGCATGGGACATTTTGAAAATAAGACTTTTTTTAATCAAAATATAGATTCAAATATGTCAAATCCAGAAGTTTCCAAAGCATACAAATATTTTATGATTTATTGGTTTTTGTTTAGTTGGTTTAGGTAAAGTTTATTTCAACTGTTGCAATGTAGACACCACTTTGCAAGAATGACCCAAATATGTGCCCGCTAAATCCCAGACCGACCAGAATAGAGTATCTCAGATGGCTATGTAATAAATGGGAATTTAAGCATAAATAACTAAATCACATTAGTGTGGACACTGACTATGAATGTACATAATTATAACTGATTTATATTTGGACTTTAAACAGTGTTTAACAAGTTCATTTGCCCATAAAATGTTTCACGAGTTCACATTTACATCAATTAAACAGAGTAAAGATTATGCGTATTTGGCGTGCTGTCCAGGGGGAGGGCTCCGAGCTCGGAATTTTTGCCCGAACCCAGAGTGCCGAATTTCGTCGTGGAAATCTAGAACAGAACTCTCATCTCAGGCCTAAAAGGAAGAAAAGGAATAGTTGAATAAAGTCGTTATTTTTGTTTGTTTTTTCGCACAAAAAGTATTCTCGTCGCTTGATAAACTTATAATTGAGCCACTGTAGTCACATGGAATATTTTAACATTTTCTTAATTGAATTTCTGGGCCGTCAAGTTTTGATCCCTTAGGCAGTCTATGGAGGACTGATCCAGCTCTCAAATTTAATCAAAAATATCTTCATTTGTGTTCCGAAGACAAACGAAGGTCTAACAGGGTTGGTACAGCATGGGGGTGAGTAATTAATGACTTAATTTTCATTTTTGGGTGAACTAACCCTTTAAGATATTAGGTTAAACTTATTTGGCTTGCTGTCTAGTAGAGGGGCTCGTTGAAGCAGCTTCAACTCTAGCTCTGGTATCCCCCCAAAATCGGATAAATTTATGACCTGATATTTAAAAAGGGCGAGGTACCTAAGATGAAGGTGGAGTTTGGGGAGGTGGAGGGATACTGGAACAGCTGATGCTATAGGGAGAGGTAAGCGGCTGCTTATATACTCAGCCTGTTGATTGAAAGATTAGATTGGCTCACTCCTCCCTAACTTATGTTTAGGAACTTCATTCATCCTGACTGAGAACCTGTGTGCAAGTGTATGACCGTTATTTGTAGGCAGAGAGTTGAAAAAAATCAGCCAGGCAATCATGCTGGAGTTCTGTGTTGGATTGTTACTGATGCAAGTGAAAACATACATAAACACTAAAAAATATACAGTACAGCAATCGAGGTAATGTACTTTTGACACACTTTTCAATTGCCATGTTCACACAGTGGGTGTGAGATGAAGATTTTATTATGGGATGCTTGCTGTGTTTGTATTTCTACAAGTGCAAAGTGCACATATTGACAGTTTAGAAATAGCTCAGACATTTCTTTTGGACATCCACATACGTACAGGATACTGCACATAAGAGGTGGTAGGAGAATAGATCTGAGTTTGTTTTTGGATACTGTCTCGTGGGGTCCCAACTCATAGATTTAAACACGCACATAAACAAACACATGCATGCATTCCACCCCCACTGCTGTGCTATCTGTTGATGTCATAGACCTCAGAGCAGGAGATCTTCATCTGCGTCATCACACCTCCCAGAGGAGATCCGCTTCTAACAGACACACACACACACAGACATGCCAAGAATTACTATCATTGGACCGCAAAGAGGATGAAAGGGAGAGAGACAGAGAACGGTAGTATGCCTGAGTGGGCCTAGAGGTTTTTTGTGTTGTGTGTGTGTGTTTGTTTCCTTGTACACTATGTAATGTGTCAAGGATGAAGAGGATGACGCAGGTTGAACTGGGTAATGAACACCACTCAGAATGTATTTGTTCATATACGACAAGATGTTCACAATTTATTACTTATCACATGATTCATGTTTTTATTCAGGATGGGCTTTGGTTTATCATGCCTAGGATGCTATGACTGTGAATAATGATCGCAGTGCCATAAAGCTTTCCATGTTGTTCGTTTGAATAATATTTATCAGTATTATTTGTCACTGTGTTCATCGCCACTGCACTGGAGTAATATCAAACACAACGGTTTGATAAATCCAATCTCGTCAGACCTGAATCAAAAGCACCAGATTATATTTCAGTAAAATGTTATGTTCTGCTCATGCATCTGATTAAGTGGGGCTAACTGAATTGCAGGGGCAGATTTGAAAAAGGTCATGAGGGTTATGAAATACCATAATTCAGAGTGTTTAATCGGAGGGCTTTGCTGACAAATTGACAATTTAAAATAACCACCTTTTGCCCCGAGAGAGGAACTGGTCACATTCGGTCTGCTTCATAAATAAAACATTTGCATGCAATTATTTTTTACGCATTAGTTCATTAACCCTGCAAGAAATTATTATTATGCAAATTCTAAAATCTCTTTTTATGTGAACACAGAGTTTAAAAGTAAAATTGCCTTACACAAAAAAATGTATTTTAACATTAATTATTTTATTAAAAAACTTTGACCCAAGAAGCATTTCAAGATTTTCAACCCAAAGTTTTCTTTTTCAGCAGGAAGTGACATCATCAGCTGGAGAGCTACTATTGTCGCTCAGTTATCTGCCAGCAGCCAATAGACTTGGGGTGGTAGTAATGAAGGCTAGAGGACTTCAGTCAGACAAAATGAAAGACAACATAGGTATTTACCACAAACATAACGTCACTCAAATCAGTGCAAACAATAAAAAGACGGAAGTGGAAAAGAGATTCAGCAGCTCAATAATAATCTACTTGGCAATATTTGGATGAATAATTTTGAATGTTTTTGAAAGAAGTCTGCACCAAGGTTGTATTTATTTAATCAAAAATACAATCAAATCAGTAATATTGTGAAACATTTTTACAAATTAATAGAACAGTTTTATATTTGATGAATAAATTATTTATATGGATAAATTAGATGGATAAAATATATCCATATGACAGTTCTTTTAAATTGTAATAATATTTCACAACATAACTGATTTTACTGATGCAAAAACATTCACAAATCTTTATTATTCCAAACTTTTGACCAGTAGTGTGCATGTACACACTTGAAATATATCCATCAATTTTACAAACCACTTGTCCTAAATTAATACATACAGTACATACATTATTAATGTCATTATTTTTAACACAGTCTCATCCCAAGATGTCATATAACTGACGTCTCGGGACGTCTTTTGACCATACGTCAATATCCGCCTTTTTAGGGCCCCCTTAAACGTCGATAGATGGCGATCCCGGGCCGTCATACAACTGACGCTTTACCTTTAATGTTAGTTAGGTGACGGGTTAGGTTTAGGGTTAGGTTTAGGTATGGGGTAGAGTTAGGATCCCATAACCTCATCTACCGACGTTTAAGGGGGCCCTAAAAAGGCGAATATTGACGTATGGTCAAAAGACGTCCCAAAACGTCAGTTATATGACATCTTGGGATGAGACCAGGTTGTTATTTTAGGTGTAATAAAGAGAGTACTGTACCTGTATGTTCTCTGATAGATCTATCAGTAAAGTTGACCTTGAAACATCAAAACACCAAGCTGAAGAAGAAGCAGACGCGGCGAGTGAAGCACAAGATGAATCCAGTCTGGAATGAGATGATGATGTTGGAGCTGCCCAGTGAGCTTCTGGCTAAATCCAGCGTGGATTTGGAAGTACTGAACCTGGCCAGTCCCGGGACCCTGCACCCCCTGGGCCGCTGCATGCTGGGGCTCCACACCTCCGGCACCGGCCTGCAGCACTGGAAACAGATGCTAGATAATCCACGCAAGCAAATCGCAATGTGGCATCCTCTATACACCTAAGAATGTTAATAATCTCCAAACCACCACCTACATGCAATATCCTTGGGTTTTTACAATAGTACTCTATCCCTGTGCAAAAATATGTAGTTCTCCAATATACTAAATATTTAAGTAGATTTAATGAATGAACCCAGCTGTTATCATTTCGTAAAATGAAACTAACTTCTCTGCAGGTAAAGGCTAAACTACTTGTTACAGTAGATTAGAGTATTTTAATGTAAGCAGTGCTGCAATTAACTTTGGTGTTGTTATTAATGTGTGTTTAAAATACTCAATGCTGTTTTAAACTGGTCCGAGTTGGAGCCATCCTGAAATTAGTCTAATGTGGTTGGAACACTTAGAGAGACAGCAAAACATTCAAACATATTTCATTTTTTAAGATTAATATCAAACATTTTTGTTTTCCTGCTATTATGGATCCTCTTAGTCCCACTGTCACAGCTGGAATGATGGAGCCATGCTCACCAACTTTAGATTGTGGCTAGTATCTTTACAGTAGTAACACACTAAACAGGGTCTCAATACGGCAGCTTTACTCTTCTCAAGATGCACGCATACAGAAATAAATGTAAATTTATCACAGCCTTCTAATTATAATTTTTATTTTAAATATATATATATATACATAAATAACAGGATGTTGTAAAATGTTGACATTTTGTTTCATTAAAGGGGATACTTCACCCAAAAATGAAAATTCTGTCATCACTTACTCACCCTCATGTTGTTCCAAACCTGTATACATTTCTTTAAAAAATAACACACAAAAGAAGATATTTGGAAGAATATGTGTAACCGAACAGTTGATGGCCCCATTGACTTCCATAGTATCGAGAAAAAAATATTATGTTATATGTTTGGTAACCCATTTTATTCAAAAAATTCTCTGTTGCCCAGTTTTAATTCCAGAAATGTATCTGTGTTTTACCAGGAGTGTACATTCTACAGAGGACATGCCTATAACAACTGACGATAATAACAGTAATATACTAGTCCACGCCAATTTGGGTCTCAACTTTTTTATTTTTCTCTCTGGAATTGTTCCTGATGCATCCCTGGCAAACAACCCTATATTTTTATTTGAATAGCTTGATACCTAACAGAAATTCTCCCTAACACTATTGGCTTCAATGTCCTTTCAATTTGAAGAACTTTCTCAAACACAAAACAAGTCCCTACTATTTTCATTTCTGGAAGCTGGGCTAAATAACAAGCACTGTTACTGCATTTAGATATCAAATTCAGACAATAGAGAATACATGAAAAGAACATTTTGGTAATCACAAAGTAATCACACACTTCTATAACAAAGCAAAATCTCACAAGCCTAGAGAAGTCATTCAACTCATTTGACATTTAGAAGGACATTTTTTGATTAATACCTTGATTATAATCACTCATTCATTGAATATGCAGTGGGCCAAACAGTATTTAGTCATTAAATCATTGTGCAAGTTCTCCTTGAATAATGAGAGAGGTCTGTAATTTTCATGATGAAAATTGCAGACCTCTCTCATTATTCTAAGTAGGAGAACTTGCACAATGATACTCTTCAACTATGAGAGACAAAATGAGAAAAAAAATCACATTGTAGGACTTTTAAAGATTTTATTTGTTAATTATGGTGGAAAATAAGTATTTGGTCACCCAAAAAGAGGCTCTTCTGTCCTCCTGTAATATGTTACCTGTAATATTGGCACCTGTTTGAACTCGTTATCTGTATAAAAGTCCACAGCCTCAAACAGTCACACTCCAAACTCAACCATGGCCAAGACCAAAGAGCCATCGAAGGACACCAGGAAGAAAATTGTAGACCTGCACCAGGCTGGGAAGAGTGAATTTACAATAGTCAAGCAGCTTGCTGTGAAAAAAATTAACTGTGGGAGAAATTTTAAGAAAATGGAAGACATACAAGACCACTGATAATCTCCCTCGATCTGGGGCTCCAAGCAAGATCTCATCCCGTGGTGGGTCAAAATGATAATGAGAGAACGGTGAGCAAAAATCCCAGAAGTACACGAAAGGACCTGATGCATGATCTGCAGAGAGCTATGACCAAAGTAACAAAGGCTACCATAAGTAACACACTACACAGAGAGGGACTCAAATGCCCAGCGCCAGGCGTGTCCCCCTGCTTAAAGGCCAATTTATACTTCTGCGTCGAGGGTATGCCGTAGTGTACGGCGTTGGCTACGCACGTAGGTGATGCCTTGTGAGCATTTATACTTCTGTGTTGCTCTGCAGTACTGCTCCGAAACGTTAGTTGGCGGCGGAGGGTTTTAATGTTCCACTGTTTAGATTCCTCGAGTTGCGGCTAGGTTACTATAAGCCTGAAAGGGAGCGGATCATGTTGGAGTTGGAGCTTATTGAGGTGGAAAAACAGTTAATTTTAGTGAAATTACTAAAACTGAAAGGCAGAAATAAGAGAAGACGTCGGAGGAGATGGTACGAGTGGAAATGCGTGAGAAGGTACGTGCGGAAATGTGTAGGAGGAAATGTGATGCTACCAAGCCGACCAATCACCGATCTTCCATGGTCCGCGCGTCGTTTACGAACTAACACATAGTATAACATTATAACTTTCAACACACATTCAAATGCCGTTTAGTGTGTAAGTGTAACGTTAGACCAAGTGAAGAAGCGCTGCGTTACCTCACAAGTTGAATTCGTCTAACGTTAATAAACATTCAGCTCATTCCTGCGTCATCAACCTACGCCTTTGTTATTGTTGGAAACTGCGCCCTCTTGTGTCGGAAAAAAACTACATATTGTGCCTAAACACAATACTAACCACAACTGCTTCACTAACCAATGCATCCAAATGCCACTAAAACGAATTGTATGCATCACATTTTAAACCCTTCTTCGGAAGGAATGCATATTTTGTGCTAAACGAACACAATAGTCATTCAACCACATGGCAAATCACTCAGCTGTATGCAGCTGTAGCCATATGACAGTTTTCAGCCGTCTTTTTGGCGCAATGTTATCGGATTTACATCATTTCTGTGCTTGATACTTTTCCAGAGAGGGATCCCTGTTAATCGTTGAAATCTGATCCATCTGTATTCTGTATGACTTACTGCATAACACTCTTGATTCACACAGACAAAAATGGATTTCTATTTTTAACCCACAGATATGCTTGAAACAAATGACCTATGTTGGAGTGAAATAAAAACTCTTGAAAATGTGCTATTTCTCATGTGTTTGCTTCAGAGGTTTGATGGATCTATGAATAGATGGTCAGGCATGATAGATGACACACAGAGGAGAAAGAGGAAGCAAGGAAGTGACAGATATCCAGGCCAACAGCACCTCCCACAAACCACACCAAATGAACACACGCTGATGAATGTATCAGAGAGGGAGAGAGAGAGAATGGAAAACAAAATGGAGAGCGCGAAAACACAGGTGACAGCAGCAGCGCTTGATAAGAGCAAATTAAAGTCATCTTTCTTTTACCTTGCATTTCTCCCGCTCATCCTAAAACACGTGTCATTAATGTGTTCTGTGTGGTTACTGGTGGACACGGAAGGGCACAGTAGTCTTATGTCTGTAAAATCAGAATGGACGGGTCCAGTGTCTGTGTGCTTGGCAGCCTTGAAAATGGCAGTAACTGCAATGCATCACTGATGAGCTTCTTGCATAATCCCACTGTTAAAAAAAACAAAAAAACTCCCACCTGCTAGATATTGCCCTACCAGAGCTAAAAATGATTGTGCTGGCTCGCTCTTCCAGGAGGAGCTGTGTGTGTAAGTGAATGAATATGTGAACACACTACACGTCACATAATAAATTACTTTAAGCTTGCTGTCACTGGCAAGCATGCTTAAACACAATATGAATGAGAAACAGAATGAAAAGAAATTGCCTTATTTCAGACCAATGAATTCATAAGTATGTTTTGCTATACAAACAACACATGAAATATAAATGTAGGTAAAAGATGCCCCAGAAAATATTCCTTTCAAATGCTGAATGGCGTGAGGCATGAGCATTGCTGTCAGACTAAACAAGGAGAGAAAAGGCTACTGCATAAAACTACCTGCTTCATATCATATCATCTGTCTCTTTCTCTCCTTTGTCTTTGTGTGGCATCAGCCGGAACAAACAGAGACAGAGGGAGAGGAGCAGAACATCCTGAATGCACACAAATTCACCATGGCATGAAATCTAAATGAACAGTTCATCTATGTGACTCACTTGTTTTCTCTCCAATAGGCTAGGGATAATTGCTTGAGTAGTGTACATTTAATTAAATAAAATGTGGAGTGTATATATGAGGATGTATACTAGACAGGATCATTGACAGGCTGATTTACAGTGACACAATGCATGTAAAGATGTGGCAGAGTGCAATTTTATGACATGGTAAATAAAAAGCTTGCATACTCTTCTGCTTCACTCTCAAAAGTATCTGTCTACTTCACAACCACAGAACATACTATTTGGGAATGGTATAATCAGGCAAACTGGGATGCAGTAACAATGTAAAAGAACCACAAGCTTGTTTCAAGAATGAAGTGACTCCCTCCTCCAATTCACAGCCCTTTTGATATTCAGAACAAGATCTAGATTATGTCAGAAAAAGGAAATCCAAGGCACTCTTCTTTAGAAAATTAAAAAGCCTTTATTGGACTGGCTATATCATGATAGAAAAGTTAAAAACATGTGGGGGGAAAAAATACAACCCACGCGTAGCGGCACAAACAGCCTTCTTCAGGGTAGGCTATATTTTTTCAAACAAACAATTCCTTCTATTTTGTATTTTGTAGATTCTAACTGGATTGGGAACACCTGAATGACAAATAGCCTGCATATACAGAGAAGGTCCACTAGGAGGTGGTTACAAATATATATATATATATATATATATACATACAGATAGATACAGATCCATACAGATCTATAGATAGGCTACATACAGATCTAGATTATTTTTAAACCATGCTGGATAACATGATAACTTGCGTGCTGCTACCATACCAACTACCAAGTAATTCAAGACAGTACATTTTTTAATTCAATACCGGTAATATATTTGGGGGAAAAAAGAAAGAAAAAAAAGGGTGTTCAGTTAAATTCAAAATAGATTTTTTTCCCTAATGGTCATTTGAACTGCACTGCATGTACAACCACATCAGTTAAAATAATGTGAACAAACTTCCATAAAACATATTCATAAAGTAAAGAGAGGCTTTGTCAGTAAACAACAGTAATCAGATAAAAAGATGCAGTTTTTGACCACTTGAAATCTCCCTCCATAATGTACACGTCTCTCACAAGCACGTATGGGCACAATGAATCTTCATTCAAAATATGAGTGTAGCTCCATTCAGACAATAATGATGTCAGGTTCCTTGAAAGCCCTGTTTCTCTCTTTTTTATGTTCAAAAATAAGCGGTGAAGCAGTGAATGGGAGGATCTGAAGCAATCTGCCCTCTGAGCCTCTTCTGGGTTAGACTGAAGATCATTTCTGCATTCAATACGAGGGCTGGTTGGTAATTTACAGAGTGACTGGTTTTAGACCATCTCCTCATCCTCGACAATCAACTCATTACTAACAGACACAAGATGTGCAAGTCCTTGACAATTCGACAAACCCAAGGCTGTTTGATCAATTTTACCAGAGTTGTGAGATCAATAACTGGGACAAGGGGAGACAGAGATAAGAGGGAAAGTAA